AAAACTGATTTTTTTTTTTGGGGTATTAATTTTTAAAAATAAAAATGAACAATTATTATATTTTAATGATTTAACTTCTCTAAAATAACATTTTTATTTCATTTTTTAATAATACTTAATTAATTTAAATTTAAATTGACAACAATGTTGTTGTCATTAAAATATGCCTTTAATAATGAACAAAAATTGTTTGTTATAACTATTATTATCGTAATTTATTTCAGTCAATGCATTATTTTGAAGTACTTGATTAAAATCACATAAAAACAATAGAGTCAGTCTTCAAACGTAATCCCTTTTTTGCAAAAAAATACACAAAAAATTCTTTAAAAAATTAGGAATTAGGTAATAAATCATAAAAACTGTAAAAAACTAAAATCATTCAAAACGCCAGAATGATTTTCTGGCGTTTTGAAGATTTTCCCGATATATTTCAGTTATTAATATCTAAAAACCAAGGGACAACTTTGAAGAACGGACAACGTTTAAAGAATGACTCTACTTTTTAATCTTAAAAATTAAAAATTCAGTCAACAGTTTCTGGCTTTAGAAATACACTTATAGTTCATAATAAAAATAAAGTACATTCAATAAATTAAAATATTTAACTCCATCAATTTTCTTATCACCAAAAGTGGATCGTCTTGTTATTTTACTTTGGTTCAATTATGAACCCTTGTTTTTAATTTTAATACCAAACTAAATTAAAATATTCATTTCGCCGTTCTTGTCTTAAAAGATTTTGATGTAGCTGGCAAGAAGAGTTCCTTTTCGATCTCTTTCACCTCATTATACCTTGTCTTGTCGTGTCTTTTCTGCACATCATTGATTTGACTTTCCTTTGTTTTGTTATCAATCAGCACATCTTCCACGCTTTTTGTTATTATTTATATTTAAAAATATATATTATTATAATATAATAATATTATATAATTACAATAATTATAATATAATAAGAATCCTATAAAAAGACTTTAAACTCCTTTTGACTTAAAGTAAAAAAGTCCTGAAGTATTGACACAACGATTCATACAAAAATAACAAACAATTCTGTGACAAAGTCCTTTGCAACACAAAGTATAGGAACAACACATATTGACAAATAAAACGTCGACGAGAAGAATACCTCATATACAACCCCAAACATATTCCATCCTAATGTGATTTTTGGTATCGCCGCAACTATTCCATATCCCATTCCCCACAAAAAGTAGAATATAAGACTCCCAAAATACGCTATATGACTGAATACAGTAAATTCCTTAGTGATTACAACCATCTTGAGTGAGATAGTTAACATTACAGTGGTGTAGACGACATACCCAAATCCATACAACGAAAACCCTTTCCCATATACCATATTGTCTTCTGTAACACACGCACTAAATGGTACAAAGAAGACAAGCGCAGAGACTACTAACGCCTCAATCACCCAATATATCAATCGTCTCATAGAAAAACACCTTTTAATTCCTTCATACAAATTTGGCTGTGTAATCAGCGTTTCGGGCATGACATCTCTATCAAACACACCAAACACAACAATCGGGAAGAACGTGAAGAAGACGTTGTATATCGACAACGTCCAGTTCTCAAAGAGTGAAGTCCCAGAATACCCATTGAATGACAAGAACCAGAATTGAGTGAGGTACATCACTATATTCTTATAAAACGAATAGATGATGACATATGAAAGTCGTCGATAATTATACCTCCCATGCACTAACAATAATTTCACTAAAAATCGGAACTGCGCTATAGCATAATCAGAAGATCGAACAGCATGTAGCCCTTCCTCTCCACTTATCCCAACTCCAACATGCGCCTCTCGTATCATCGCACAATCATTCGCACCATCTCCTATCGCCAATGTCGTTCCTCCTATTTGTCGGACCAACTCAACTATCTTCGCCTTTTGGGATGGGGCACACCGACAACACACTATAGCGGCCGCATTCTTTAAAAGTTGTTTTAAAAGGCTCCGGTCAATCATAACAAACGTCTCGACTATTTTCCCTTCGATTATATAATTCTTTTGTCCCATTTTTATACCCTCCACTATTTCTTCTTGAAGATTTAAAAGTTTCTCCGCTTTCAAAGCAACGGCTTCACCTACAAAAAGACCACATCCCTTCGCAATATTATATGCCTAGTTGTTAGTATTATAATATTCTTATTAAATATAGTTAATTAATATAGTACTATATTAAATACAATATAGTATTTAATATAGTATAATATATTATATTATATATAGTTTTATAGAGTTAACAAACAGTCTCTTTTTTGTCTCCAGTTAACATCCATATCTGAATGTGAGCTTGCTTGAGCTTTTCAATTGCTTCTTTGACACCTTCTTGTAACTTGTCTTCGATGCCAGTCACTCCCAAAATCTCGACGTCGCACTCCACCAACTCAGATGCTCTTTTTATACACTCTTCTCGCTTATTAATGTCTTTGACGCCTTCTTCCCATATATCTTCAAATTGTTTAAAAATATCTGTGATATCCCGTCGCGCTATAATTAACGTGCGATACCCTTCCAGTCCCAACTTGTCGATTTCATTTTGGATTTGATCCTTTTTATTCCCTTCGCTATTTTTAGAATCGTCACTGAGTGGTAACATGACGTTGTCTGCTCCTTTCATGTAGATGAAAACGCGTTGATTTCTTCTGACAATGACACTCATCCTCTTTCTATCCGAATCAAATGGGATGACTGCAATAAGTTCGAACTCCTCTTTGTGTGTTGTTAATATTGGAAGTGGATTTATGATCTGTCCTTTCTCCTTATTTTTCATTTCACCATGTGGTGACCCGTCCGACGATGTCGGGGAATTTTCCGAACTTGGTGATGATGCCTCATTTTGGTTCTCCACTATATTAAGTACAACACCCTCAGTAGTTCTCTCAAACAACTCAAACCCACAAGCAGCTGCCGCATGGACAAGTGCGGCCTCATCATTTGAAACTGCTTGGTACTGTAAAACATCATTCTTCTTTGTGACTGAGACCGAGTTACATATCGCCAAACACCTCAAAAACTCGCACACTGTCCCTGACGTCTTGGAGTCACTCACAATTTCTTCCGGTGAAAAATCGACATACGTCCGGTCGTCCGAAAGATCTAATACTTCGAACCCAGACAACTCTATCTCTTCATCAATTTTCGACTTCCTCTTTTGGTGTTTCGCCTTCTTCGTCTCGACTTTCTCCTTCCCATGTGCCCCTTCCACGCGCCGCTCCTCTTCAAAGTCGCCGTAGTTCTTCCCACATATAAAACACGTTTTAAAAACCATCAAATTTTGTGTTAACGTCCCCGTCTTATCCGCAAAGATGTAGTCGACGATGCCAAGTTGCTCATTCAAATTCGACGTTCGCGCTTCCGCAAATTTTCCTTTGAAGCACATGTCCCCATCAATGTTAATAAAATACGCCTGAAAGATTCGAACAATTTCCATCGAGACGTAGAGTGAGATGGGAACCAAGTTGTTATATAAGATCACAAATGTGATGAAATTGGTGATGAAACTCGGAATGACCTTGTCGGAGTTTTCTAAGTACCAAACGTCGTTGTTTTTTCGGCTCCAAGTCTGACATAGAATCGTCGAGATCATCGCAAATGTCAATTCAAGCGCAAACATCCCAATCACAAAGTAATTTGTATTGCGCTCAATGGAACTCCGTTTGATCTTCACACCTTTTGCACTTTGAAGTTGTTTGGTTTCTTTCCCTATGTATATAACTACGGCTGTGACCCAATCTGTATTCTCTAATTGACTCCCTCGCAACAACAATTGTGACAGTCCAACGGCTTCATGTTTGTGGTCACACTCTATTTGTCCTTTAAATGAAAATAAGTCGGGATTCGGGTCTTCAAATTCAACTCGTCGGATTTCTAATGTCGACATCTCGTCTGTGTAGCACCGTGTCGATGGTAAACTTTCTTTGATCTTGAGAGCAGTTTCGCTGGTGTGTTAATAGTTCAATTCGAAACTATTAACTGTAATTCGATAGAATATACTCTAAACTATAATATATCAATTATAATTATAATATATTGAGTAACAAACCCATCTAATTGTGAAGTTTCAATAAAGGCTGTTCCATTACTTTCAGACGAATTTAAAAGCAGTGCGTCAGCAGGAAATTGCTCTTTCCTTCGTACCATAATGATGTCGCCAAGAAATATGTCTTTCCACTTCACATCAACCCACTCAAAATTCTTCCAGCATTTTGTTGTCTTATAATTGATTTTCTTGTCATCTCTATGTCGTTTAATATCCTCGTAGAGTTCTTTCAACATGGAAATGGTGAGTACTATACACAGTGGAAACAATGTAGTAAATCTTCCGGTTGGCGACAGCCCGGGTATCGCCTGAAATATCGAAATGATGAGAAAATAGACGTTTGCAAGCTTTCTGAATTGTTCTATAAGTACCAATGGGAAAAAGGATATCGCATTGTACTTCGACGTTTTAACAACGTTCGATTTGAACCGAGTGATCTTATCAAATATGTTCACTGTATTGATATTAACACTTCTCTTCTCGACAACATCTCTTGGGGAAATCAGTGGGATTTTCTCGGAGGATGTCATTGATATACTTCCAAGTTTATTTCTCCAATTTTTCATTCTCCTTTTTTGATACATTTATAGTTACTATAACTATAGATTAACTATTATTTTTGTAATGAGAGTCATGTGACTTTTTGTTCTTTTTAATTCCGATACAATTAATAAAAAAATAGTTTATTAATAATAAAAATTACTATTCAGAATATGGTATATTTTTCATTCATCTATTTTAGTATGATATGATATAGTTTATTAAATTATAATATACTATATTTCTATTTCAGTTTTTCAGAAATTGAAAAAGGATTTGGCGCAGAAAATGTTGTGTTTAAATTGTCTGAGTATAGTTCGACTCTAGTATTTTAATACTAATGTTTACTATACTAGTATATATAGTACATTCTACTATAAAATATAAATATTTACTATACTAGTATATATAGTAAATTCTACTATAAAATACTATCAAATGAAACAATCAATCATGCAAAGAGGCCAACACTGACTAAGTCATCGATGAACTTGCCTTCCCCAGGTTTGAGAGCACCCCGACACCCTCTTTCTGACATGTCATCCAAGTAGTCGTTCCACTTCCTGAGTGGTTGCTTAACCAGTTTCTCATTTGACTCTGTCATTTCCCATTCACCGGACCAGTTGTTCCCCTCACAGATCCAAAGGCCGATCTTCATGACTTCGAACTCGTCTTTCAATTTTCCTCTACAAATTAGTATGTATCCAATTAAATAGAATAAGTTATATTTATACTATAAAAGAACTAGACAAACAGGTTGTAGAGTTTAAAGAACGATTCAATCGTCTGATTAGGATAGTGTTTTGACGGCAACTTTCTCGCAAAATCCATGACATCCGTCTTTGTAAATTTCGTCGGGTCGACAACCATCAACCTTCCCAAACACGCATTAGCCACTTCACACACTTTGTCGTCTTTAGTAGTGATGTACCCTCGCAATTTCTTCTCTATCTCTTTCGAAAAGCCTTTCAAACAACTCATCTTCAGCAACTCGAGCAAATGCTCCAACATCGCGATGACTCGGTCAGTGTTTTTATCTTCAAATTGTAAGAACTTTGGAAGAGCCAATTGCGCGTAACTGTCATTCATCTGATTCACACCAAGAATAGTGTACAACACAAAGAAGAACAATTGCAGGCCAATCAGCGACTCGCTTTTATTTGTCTTGTCATTGCGTATCTTACTCTCCTTCATACCAAAGCTATTTTCTAGTAATGGCAACACACTTTTATCGGTCGAGACTAGACTCTCAACAGTCGTGAAATACTCCGATATAAGAAAACTCTCATCAGCGTCCATCCACGTGTACTTATACCCTCCTTCATGTTCAGTGCTCTTATTATTCGAGAGATACGAATTCAGAGCAGCGTCGGCACACATGTTTAACGTCATGATAAATCGTTTGTAATAACTCTCTTTAGTAAACACTTTAGTGTATTTCAGAAACTGTTTGATGCACCCCAATATCTCTCGTCGTGCGTCCGAATCAACCAAATTTCTCTCTCCAAGAATTTTAACTTTCTCCAAGAACACATCGATCTTGACAGGCAACTCCTTATTTGTGTAAGAGTGCGTTGTGATACATCCAATCGCTCGGATAGCTCGATACCTCACACTTTTATCATAACACGTATCAATCAACTGCGACAAAGTCTCAACCACGGATGGCTGACACAACACGTTAATACAATTTTTGTTCGTCTCAAATCTCTTTCCCGTCCTATTTAAAACAGCGCCCACTTCATTGGTTGTACTCTCACACACCCACGAGATGAAATATAACGCCTCACTCTTTGCTTTGAATAGAAACTCATTATAATACTTCTCACTGTATTTTGTGTAGAGCGTCTCGTTCAGTATTTGCATCTCTATCTCGTAACATCGGGACTGATCCGTGTCGCTTTTGAACATAAGGACATCCAACATGTCCTTACAGAACTCCTTTTCTATCCCACTCAAACAACAATACTCAAGACTTAACGAGACATTTAAATTCGAAAGGACTCGCATCACTACACTCATCGTTTGTAACCACAAAATGCTATACTTCGGTAAGTAGTTTTCTTTATATATACTCATAACTAGATCACCAAAGTGTTGTTTGATCATCCCACCAACATCTTTACTCTCCATCTCGTCGTTTGTATCGAAAAAGCTCAACAAGATGCTCACCGCCTTATTCTTCAAAAGTGTGTTCTCGACACTTTTGTCTCGGGAGACTATCGAGACGATTTCTGGATAGATGGAATACATCAATGTGCTTTTTTTAAAGGTCGAAGTGACTTCACTCTTGATGGCCTTCACTGCAGACATCTCAACAGAGAAGACCCCACACTGAGAAAGTCGAATTAATGACTCCAAAAACACATTGAGATCAACATACTCACATATAACACTCTCACAGATACTCGTTATGACGTCACACGTCTTGCTCAGTACCTCCTCATGTTTGTCATTGAGTAAAAACTCGATTAATTCGATGAACGGAGCAACTTCGTCTTCTTCGTAAATCTCATTCAAAAATGCCGTCTTCAACAAGTCCAACACAGCAACTCGGACATAACTATTTTGGTCTCTCCCAAAGCTTATAAAGAGGTTCGTCTCCTTTTTGATCTCGCGGACAACCACTTCATTGTCCGGAAAATTCTCGAGGATGTCCGCATGAATTGCCACAAACGCCAACTTGTCTCGACTACTTTTTTTCGTCTTCGTCTTCGCCTTTTTGTTCAGTTCCTGGAACAGTGACATGATCCCAACAGCATCCGCAACACTCGAAAACTGCGTCTTTGCAAGTCTCATTTCTAAGGAGTCACTTCCTCGACTCCCCGGTGTTGAAAATGCTCTGAAAAAGAACGGGACGAGCGCTCTCGCATAGTCCGAGTTCGGCGACGATATCGCGATATTCACAGAGACGCTGAGCGCGTTCTCTCGAAGGTTGAATGAAAACGTTCCATTTGAGAATATCGCGTTGAGGAAGTTCTGCGTGTCTTTAGTGATGATCTCCACCTTCTTTTGGTACAAGTCGAAGATGGAGTCTATAGCATTGACGACTCTGTTGATCTCGTGTTCTGGGCGCAAAGACAGCACTTTTGTGTATATCTGATAACACCGCAGAATCGAGTCTAACGTGATTTCCTTCAGTGACCCGACGACTCCCGTGTCCGATAACGAGAAGAGAATTAAAGCGACTTGGAAGACCCCAACAACGGCTTTAGTGTTCTGTTGCATCACTATTAAAAGCCTTTCGAGGGCCTTTAAGAAGAACGAGAAGTGGTCCGGAAGGATTTCCATGAAGTTCGAGCTGGTACTAAAAATTGCGATGACGTGCATCAAATGGGCGTCGTCAATGTGTTTCGGTAGGAGCGAAAACACATACGAGAAGTTGATCTCACCAAACAACGAAAGGTCTAAGATCTTGACCACTATCTTGCGATACAAGTATATCACACGATCGACTTTTTCGGACATAAAAAGTGCAAAAAAAGACGTGAAGACCCTCTTTAAATAATCTTTTTCAAATAACCCGGATACCCCAGGCATCTGGAGTAAATTCGACATATTAGAGAGGGTCGTCAGACGGTAGGTGACGTTGTCCGTTGACTTGAGAAAGGAGATAATCGTTGATATGATGGTCGGAGGACTTTGTGAAAAGAGGAAAAACATTTTGTTTGTTGAGTCAACGGTCGAGTCCGTCGATGTGCTTAATTGGAAAAACTGGAGAACGTCCGACGAAGTGTTTGTCATCGATAAAACAATTTGTATAATAGTTTTTAGTTTGTTTCTTATTTATTAACTATAAATTAATATAATATTAATTTTCATCAACTTGTGTGATAAAATTTGTTGAGTCGTTGTATTATGTATAGTATATAATGGTTTAAGTTAATTATGAATGGAATTAATTAATTGGAATTAATAATTATAATAATTATAATTAATTATTTCACTCTGAAATAAAAAGAGAAAAAAAAAATAATAGTTAAAATATGTAAAAGTAACTATTCATTTTTATTGATTTTTATAGCAACATTTTCCTTAACTATTTTCCCCGTCGTCGTATACCGGAAATATTTATTTATAAATATTTGAATAATTATTAAAAATTATAATTTAATTTATTTATATTACTATTTATTTTTATCATATAAGTATAGTTAAAAACAATCAAATAAACCATAATTGTTTAACTCGGTATTATAGTTAATTAATAGTTTAAAATAAACCATACGACCATTAATTGTGAATTTCGAAAGCAAGTCGAACATTAAGATACTCTTTCCTTTTCATTTGTCTATGAACTCAATAAAAAACTCTTTATCACATAACAAATCAATTCTTCTGTTGAATAAATCATCACAAATCATCACTATCTTCATTTTGATCGATGTGGTAGAGTGCCTCCTTTGCGAGCTTTTCAGTGGTTTCGTCCATCATTGGCGTATCAATAATTTCATGCATTTTATCGGCAAAAAGAGTCTCTTCAAATTGTTGTAGAACGCCAAACTGCGAGTCAGACTCATCCACATTCTCTGCATATTCCATTGTAAGTATAGCGCATCTTATTGCCATACATCTCATATCCACATTCGCCCAATTCACAAGTTTGAAACAATCCACATACATAGAATGTTGTATCAAGACTTCCAAGACTTTGTCTGGGTCCGTTTCAACGCAATTGAACAGAAATGTCAAAAGTTCAAACACCAAAATTGGGAATTGGTTCCTATCAAGTTTTTTAAGAGAATTAAATATCTGTGTAAAGATGTCGTTTTCAATGCACATGCGAACAAATCTATTTGCTAAGAACATTTCTATATTATATAATAATATATTATTATATTATTATATTATAATTAATAAATTATAGTAAAAAAACAAACTCTTTATAACCAACTGAAAGATTTGCCAAAGTCATAGTCACACAGGACATGATTTGACTGTCTTCAGTGGACAAAAACAAGTCGAATAAAAGAGGTACGATGCCACAGTTTACGACCCAAATGATTTTTGATGGGTCTACTGTTTGTGAGAATCTTCTTAAGAAATAGAGTACTTCTCTCTTCACCTTAATGTCCGTGTCTTTAATCAAACTGAGACATTTGAGCAGTGGTTGTTCGCCGACACTTTCCATGTATTGTTCATTCAGAGTAAACACTTTAGTTAGACACGAAATGGCACACGTCACGATTTTTTTATTAGTAGAATATAAGCCATAAATGATATTAGGGAAGAACGAAGTGATCACTTGTGGTGTTAAAAATCTGTCTGTTCTTATAGTGTTAATCAAACACCAATATGGCTTGCTTTTGTCTTTGCAGAGTGAAAATCCTCTTCGTAAGAGGTCTAAATATCCTTCGTTGAATGCGATGAGTCGAGACTCTTTGTCGTCCGCTATTATAATATTTGTCACCCCCCACAAACACTGCCGCATCACTTTTAAATCCTCTGTCGCCATACCAACTGTTATTAAGCGCTTCGATACTAACAAGTTTCTCTCAATGGATATGACCTCTTTGGCACACGCATTCGGCGCAGAGTCTTGTGCACTAATTGTCGTCAAATTGGTGAACAAGACCGCTATTTGATATAACAATGACGTCGGGCTTTCAAGCGTAAATCGCGCAAGAAGCGCACTGAACGTGTTCGTCTCCGACATCGCAGTGACTACTTCAATCGGCTCGTTTGTCGGCTGAAAAATGCTTTTCCGCAGCGTTTCCGCTATTCCTATTAACTCTACGTCTTGTGCTTGACCGTCGAGAAAACGGTCGCGCTTATCGCGGAAGAAGGAATACAAGTCTGTCGGAAAGGTAATTGGTGTTTCTATGTCATCGTCAACTATCTTCCGTTGAAGACTTAATAAATTATTTCGACGCTCAGACCTTAAGCCTGTTTGATATGAAATCTGTTTGTCGCACTGTGTTCGAAGTGTTGGATTGGTGCGGAGATGCATTCACTAGAAATAATGAGTTTGTAAAGGTAATAGTTTTTTATTAATTATATTATAATTTATTTTCGATGATTAAAATTTTATTATAACGGACGTTTGCTGAGATTGGTTTATTTATTAATTAAATATATTAAAAAAATGATATTAAAAAACTTTGAAATATTGAAGTGTGGAATTGTAATGAATTATTTTTTATAATATAATATTAAAAGTTCTATTAATTATAGAATTTAAAACTATTAATATTATTTTTAAAGTAATAATAGTGATATAACATGGTTGACCAAATAGATAATTTCAACTATATTATAATAGTTATTTTTATTATAATTAAAAGTTAAATACAACATTCTATATAACTTAGATTGAAAACAAAGAATTTTGTAATTATTTTGAGTGGTGATGATTTAACAATTTGTTTAAAACCACCTTAAAATTTGGGTAAAAAAATGAAAAACCCAAAAATAATAAAAAGTTCACGATAAATTAAAACTGGTCTTTTTTTCTGGATAATACAAACAAGTGCGGACAAATTCGAAGTTTTAAAATTAGAATAATTAAAAAATTATTGAACAAAAAGTTTAAAAACATATTGTTTGGGTATAAAAAATTGTTTCAATGGTTTTGTCTTCTACAAAAAAGAATAATGTCAACAAGTTAACAACAACCAAATAAGTTCACACCAATTTTATTTTCCTCAAACCTTTCTTTTTTGTCTTGTTTTGATCAACTTGTATTTCAAAAATGGCCATTGCAAAGTCTACCAATCTGAAAGGATTATTTACGAGCAATGAACAAGATGAATTCAAAGACTCTTCGAGTAGTAATACAGACACATCATATGATATATCTATTTCGAAGTTTGAAACAAGTGAAGACAAATATGAAACACTCACCATCGAACAAATAACACTTTCAAAATTGACAGTTGAAGAGACGTATAGAGATAAAATAGTCAACGAATTTTATGAAACTGAAATGAGTTATGTGACTTCCATGGAATGTTGTATTAGCGGGTACATCACCAAATTAAATGATACAAAATATGTATCTTATCAAGAAAAAATGTCTCAGATTTTCCTTCATTTTAATGATGTCTTTTACATCAATTCGGTGCTTTTAGATAACATGACAAGGCTGAAGAAAAGTGGGACGTTATCTTCGAAATTGGGAGAAGCTCTTTCTTTATTTATTCCAATGTTAAATGTTTATAAATTGTATGTTGGTAATTCGGATTTGTCAATTAACACTTTAATAGAGATGTCAAAAAATAAGAAGTTCAATGACTTACTAGTCCTATTGAGAGAACAATTACCACCGGGAAAACAACTTGATTTACGAAGTTTTCTTATTATGCCAGTACAACGTCTCCCCAGGTATAGTTTATTATTAGCAGACTTGATTAAGCACACTTCAAAAGATCATCCCGATTTTGAAAACTTGTTAAAAGCCCAAATTGGAATCAAAAAATTGGCTAATACAGTGAACGAAATTGTAGAAGAGAGAGCAAAGAACCAAATTTTAGTGCAACTCTCGAAGAAGATTGAAGGACTTGAGGAAGAGTTAGTCAGTCCATTCAGAGAGTTTATAAGGAGTGGATTGTTAATGAAGGTCTGTCGTAAATTTAATAAAGAGAGGTACTTCTACTTATTCAATGATATGTTAATATATGGAATAGGTGATGAAAAGTATATGAAAGTGTCTCAAGTCTTTCCTCTTGAAACAGTTCAAATAAAAGTCTCTGAAGTGACACAAAATGCTTTTGAAATACGTGGAACAAAAAGTTTCACTGTGATTACAAAAACAAAAGAAGAGTGTGATGGGTGGATACACAACATTGAAAGTGCAATACTTAAACAAAAAAGTCGATTAAAAACACTTAAGCGTGAGAAAGGTGAGAATGAAACGGCACCCGTCTGGGTGCAAAATACAAATCAGTGTCAAATTTGTTCGACAAAGTTTTCTGCTTTGAGTCGCCAACATCATTGCCGGAAGTGTGGAAGTTGTGTATGTTCAAATTGTAGTCCAGACACACTTGTGATTAAAGGAAAGAAAGAAAGAGTGTGTATTTATTGTAAGTTAGAAGAAACCAAGAAAACCAGTCTTGATATATTAAAAGTCAAAGAACAATCTCCACCACCTAAAGTACCACAAAAGTCACCTAAATTACAAGTGTTAATGAAAGAAAATGTAAAGGATACCAAAATTAGGTTCATATCTCATTCGGCTAATAATTCAGAAGGGGACAAACCTCATGGATTTTATGGTCTGACTGCACCAGAAACAACACCAGGAAGAACAATCAAGAAATATTTATCAGGTGAAAATTACAAGAAAAGAGCAACATATGCACCCGGTGAAGCTATTCCTATACAAATACCTAAAGTCAGACCTTTAACTTCTGAATACTCAAACTCACTCCCTTCAACACCAAAAGAAGTCGTTTATACCCCTTCACTGACTCCAAGATTGGTACATGGTAAACCTGCACCTCCTCGAAACAAAAAATTGCTTCAGCCTGAATGAGTTGTTCTGTAATTTGGTATAGTTTTTTTAATTAATACTTTATTATACAAATCAATAAAAAACAAATCATTTAAATATTATTACTTATAGATTTTAATTAATATAGTTTTATTTATTATTTTATATCCTATTTTGTTTTATAGTATTTTAATCTAATAATACTCATTCAAAAATATTTTTCAGTTTAATATTAATATTAGCTTAATAAATTAATATATATGATAAAACAAAAATTGTTGAATAATAACAATAAATTATTATTATTAATAAATATATAATACTTAAAATAATAAAATATAATAAAATAAATATAGATTACCATAAAGCAAAAAAGCCGAATCACTAATAATTCAATTGAACAAAATATTACTATTATCCCATATCTATTTTATCGGAAATCTAACTCCGATAAAATAGATTATCGGAGTTAGATACTAATAATAATAACCAATGACAAATAATAACAATAAATTAACTTCCTTTAAAACCCCACCAAACAAATTTTCTTCTCAAAAGTTCAAATCGTTCCGACACTTACAAACACCGATGAACTAGAAATCTCTTTAATTGGGCGAACTAGTAATAAAACTTTTAAAACTATCCAACTCTAAAATCAGCATGTCATCTCAAGAGACCAAGATTGTCGCGTCATTTTTGAAAGATTCTCCACCCGGGGAATTTAACAATGTTCTGAAGGATTGCAAGCAGTTAGTTGAGAACGATGACATTTTCCAACAATGTCTTCCTACATGTCTTCACGATTATAACACTGAGCAGCTGACTGTCGTCCAAGACGGGTCGAACAATGTTATCATCTCCAAACAAACAGAGAAAAATCCAAATGAGTTCATTGATCCCATTCACGGCAAGCTGATGTCTTTCGATCACATCAAAAAGGCTATCACCAGTTCCAGTGGTCTTTCCGAGGCACTTCCCGGCTCCGACTCGTTACGCAATTCGATACAGAACAAACTCGACGCTTATTGTCGTGAGTTCTATCCAAAGGGAGCCGGTGTTGTGATGCCAAAAGATGCTAATTCGTATTACGTCATCATCTCCTCCGCTGATTTTAAAGCCGCTCAGTTCTCTAATGGAAAGTGGAGAAGTGAATGGACCGTCACTCTTAATGGCTCTAAAGCCTCTATTGAAGGCCGTATTAGAGTCCAAGAACATTACTTCGAAGACGCAAATATCCAGATGCACACCGACGTCAAGAAAAAGGCTACTGCTAACGCCAGCGGAGACGACCAGACAGCTCAAAGCGTCATCTCAGAAATTAAAAAGATCGAAGAACAATTCCAAACTGAGTTGGTCAAAATATTCGACACTCTTTCAGAAAACTGCTTGAAGGCACTCAGAAGACAACTCCCTATGTCTAAACAGAAAATCAACTGGCAGAACTGGAAGGCTCATAAGATGATGTCAAAATAAGAGCGAGTCTTATTACTAATTCCTTTTCAAATCTCTTTTTGGTTTACTCTTTTACTGTACTAGCATTTTGGTATAAAAATACTATTCTATAGTATTGTGCCGTTTTTATTACTAAAATTTAAACTGTACCATTTTAATAAGTAATTTATAATTACATATTATAGATCTAATTGTTTTATTTATGCAAAAGATATTGTATTAATTAATTTAATTAATGTTACAATAAATCATAATAAAAAAACAAAGTATTATAATTTATGATAAAAATAAACTATTAAAATAAAAAATGATCAAAGTAAATTAATTGTGTTGAGAGTTTCTGGAATTGGAACGGTTTCTTGTTTTAATGGTTTTTGGGGTTGGGAAGATGGAACATCAAAGAGAAGTTGCGTGTCACCTTTACCAGTATCGGACGTTTTTTCACTTTTCTTGTCACTTTCGGGTTGAGATTGAGAAGGATGGAATGGTAAGATTGAAGAACCTTGAACAATGTCGATGTCACGCTTGATCACACGAGCAAGGGTGTATAAGTATGTGTCAACATCTTCACACCCCCATTGTTTGAAGATTTTTTTTCGAGAAAGAAGACCAATCAAGAAGTAATGAAGATCAGTGCTTTTAGTTCTGAAATTGACGTTGAGCCTTCGCCAAGGCAACTCATTCATCTTATTGATGATATTGTCAATTACCACACACCCGTCGACCTTTTCTTCGAAGACTTCGCCACGATCACTCTGCAATTTGTACTCCCTTGTGCAATTATCGAGGACATCAAGATACTCTTTGGTATATCCATATGCGTCGAGTAAATATTTATCCTTCAGAAACTCTCGATCATAGGGAATAGCTCGGTCGAGCGCGCCAGTGACATAGGGACATGCCATCGAAAACTTGATGTTTTGAATTAATGTCAAGTGAGCAAAACGCTTTAAACAATCCAAGCTGTTATCAAGAACCATTTGAACCAACAGGGGCTGTTCATTTAAATCAGTTGGGTCGTATGGGGGATATGGCCTGTCCGCCAAATTAAGATCATTAAGTGTTTGTCCTTCATACAGAGCACCGGTGATTGAAGAAAACAGTGTGTCAAAAGCACCATTGTTCTCAGGTTTCTTAATACCAGCGTGTGGAGCTTCGATAGAGATGTAATTCTAAATGTCACTACACAATTAAATGCACAAAACTGCACTAAAAACAAACAAATAAGGTGTAGTTCGGATTGTTGAAAATGCCTCTTCTTAAAAGAATTGGTAGCGCAAGTCTTATATACAACCCACCAACCGAGTGTCCAATGAAGTGAAAACGATACTTCTCGTCCCCTCTCTTGTCGTGTGTGTCTTTCAAATCCAAACATATTTCATTTGCAAGTCTAAGTGCGCCAACTTGTAGGCCATCACTTGTACACCCTCTCGCGGCGTTGGCTTTACAGTATTTCTAAATTGTGAGTCCGAGATAAACTCTTATTCATACAGTTAAAAACATAACAAAGCAAACGATGATGTAGTTTGTTCCCAACAAATCTCTCAGTGGAGCAACAAAGTACTGCCAATGTTCCTTAACGTTCACTTCTGACGTTGAGAGTCCGTGGACTAAGAAAAAGTAGTCGATGATCCGTTCCTTTTTCTCTTCTGTCGCCATGTTTTAATTTTCAAGTTCAAAAGCCTTTTTACTATTGCTCGAAACTTACAGGTAGTAACTATACTTACTAGTAAAATATTAGTAAAACAGAACCATTAAATGTTATCAGTTTATTTTAAAATAGACTTGATGGAAAGAAAAGTTTATTATAATTGACATTGATTCGAAGAGTGCCAGTTTATAATAACATAAAGAATAAATCTGTGGAAAATAAAAAGACGAATAAACAATCAATCAGTAGTCAATGCTTAGAAGACTTCCTCCATAGAATCTGCTGAAGGCAACTCGCTCTGCTTCACGAAGGCAAGTGGATCTTTGTAGACAACAAGAGCCAAGCTATTACTATCATTGGTATCTAAACGTAAATTATAAGATTCTGAATAAGGAAGAACAAACTCATTCGGCGACTCGTCCATTTGTTGTGTCGTTGCCTCTCTCTGAACGTTCTCAAATTTCAATGCATTGCCACTTTCGATTATTTTGCGTTTAATAAAAGTCGGGGTATAGTCGACCATTGAACGACGCATTATGGGGCGAGTCTTCTCCATGAATCTTTTTAATTCGTCGTACGCATTTGGTGATGTTATGTAGCATGTCGTCATATTTCAACTTGTGTGTTTTAGAGATGTGGCTTTCTTGTTATCGCGGCACAAGTCGAGACGTGGGTCACACGTGTTGCGATCACTTCATTTTTGTCTCTTTTTATTATATTTTATTATATTTTTACTAATATACAACTAATAATAGATTGAACACTATGGCGCGTTTTCGCAGCTTTTTTTTCTATTTTTATTTTTAATTCATTTATAGTTACTTTATTATATTTTATGGTTTCTATTTGGGGCTTAATACCAAAACAAAAGTCATAACAAAAGTAAACTTTTGTTATTTTTTCATTTCATTAAAACCTCAAAATAAAAAAGAAATAAAAAATGTTATTAATTTTGTTATTTAAAACGTCGAAAATTCAAATCTATTTTTGACTTAAATATATAGTTTATAAAATCATTAAAATAACTATATGCTAAATTATTGAATAAAAAATCTGAACTGAATAAAATTGATGCTTTTTTGCTTGTGTTTTGTTGTGTTTACAACTACAGCGATGGATACAACATGTCCCAAAGCGTTTTTCAAGTCGTGTAAGACAAAGTCTGTTGAATGTGACGACGATTTCATTTTAGACAATGGGAGTTGTGTCTGTTTGTTATGTATTATACTTTATAGTAAACTGTACTATACAAATGTACTATTTTACACAAACAAATGTCATATGTAGATAAAACGAAATACCATTGTGCTACTGTATCACAAAACAAGTGTTCTTCATGTGTAAAAGGGTACAAGTATATTAATGGGATGTGTGAGATAGGAGAAGACTTATGTATGTTATATGACGTTACTACGAATGTATGTATAACATGTACTGAACATGCAATGAAAGATGGGGGGTATTGTAAGAAGGATTTAAGCAATGAAAATTGCATTGAACATAGTGACCACGATTGCACTAAGTGTACAATTGGTCTTCATTACGATAACGATAATAATCATTGTGAAGTCATGGTTTCTCATTGTTTAGAATACAATGGAAAAGTCTGTTCGGTATGTCAAGAAGGGTACTATTTATCTCTTGACAATTTATGCTATTTAGGGGATGTAAATAATTGCAAAGAATATATAAAAACACTCGGCGGGTATGACAAAAACACATGCGCGGTCTGTTTCGACGGGTTTGTACTCAACACTAAAGATAACACTTGCACCAGTTTGAGTCTTTGCTTTTTACTCAGAGTTGATAGTAATTTTATTATTTAAAAACTATAATTTTTGGAATGGTATTAAAAACATAGAAAATGGATATATACCTCACTGCAAAGACTATGAGTCGGGACAATTCTATGGACTTTGCTCAAAATGTGGAGATGGGTATGGTTTATCACCAAATAATGATAATTGTGAATTATGTTTGACAAATTGTGAAAAGTGTACAACTTCGAATTATTGTTTAAAATGTAAGAAAGGGTTTTATAACACAGGGAAAATGTGTGAGAAATGTAATAAATCATGTGATTTGATGACAAATTTAATTAATAGTTGTTCACAATGTGGGTGCGTTGTTAAACCAAATAACGGGAAGTCAAGTTGTGTCGAAACCGAAAATTGTGAGGAGTATGACGGGAGTGGAAATTGTGAAGTGTGTTCCCCGAAATATAACAAAAACGGAAATATTTGTGAATTGGATCAAAACGGGTGTTTACAAAGACAAAATCAAAACAAAAACGAAAAGTGTTTACAATGTCAAGACGGTTACTTTATGTTAGAAGATTTCACTTGTTCTAAATGTGATGAAAGTTGTGAGACTTGCTTTTATGACAAAACAAATTGTTTGACTTTTTCGCAAAAATCTTGTGAAAGTAAACATTGCGAAGATTGTCACACAAATTCCAAAATATGTGAAAAATGTGATTCTTTTTCAAAAATCGAAAATGGAAATTGTTTAGTTCGTTTTTGTGAAACAAAAAGAGCAGATGGAGTTTGTTTGAAATGTGTGGAAACTATAGAAAGAGATGGTCTCTCTTTCCGTACAGAATATCTTCCTTCACCAAACAATTTGTGTTGATTTTTTTTCAAATTTTCTTCTTTTTTTGTGCAATTCTCTAATCTTTTAATTATTTAACTATAGTAATTAATTAATTTAATAACTATTTATAATATAGTAATATAATAGTATAATAGCCAAAAACAGTTAGAAACGCCATAAGGTTCAGTTCTATTTCAGACCAAAAAATAATGTTCAAGAATACTTCAAAAAACAACCAACCCTTCAATAAAAAAAGAACTATACAAAAATTAAAAAAGAATTAATAAGTGGGACAATAGAATCACTTATTTCTTGGCGACTTTAGAAGCTTTCTTCTTATCTTCCTTTGCCTTCAAAGCTTTTTCCTTCATATCCTTAAGAGCAGCTGCCTTGAAAAGGTTGTGTTCTGAGATGAGGAATGATCTCAAAATAGCTTTTTGGACGCATTTGGCGCACTTGTTTCCACCATAAGCTCTAGTGACGGATCTCTTGAAATGTGGCATCCATCTGTACATGTGAGATCTAACGTGGTCAATCCCTTGGAGCTCAGCGCCACATTCGCTGCAGTGTGGGCCTGAAGCTCTCTTCATCACGTGCTGAACAGTCATCTTGCTACCAGCGGTTTTCACGATGTGAATTCTGTTCGATCGTGTGTTGTATGAGTGCTTGCGAATGTATGTGATTCTTGGAGCCATCCTCAAAGGTCCTACTCTTTCAAGTTCTTAGGGTTATCCCTTCCCTTTAAAATTAAAAAACAAATTATATAGATTTTTTACTATTAACTATAGTTTTTAGTACTATTGTATTGATAATGTTTAAACTAATATATAGTTTTATTTTATTATAATTATAAGTTTTTTTAATAATAATATATTATATATTATAATATATATAATATCAATTATAATATGTATAAATATAGATATTATTATATATATTATTTTTTATATATTATTCTATTAATTCAAACTATAATATTTATAATATTTTTATGTATTATTAATAAATAATAAGAAACAATTCAAATTTTTTAATAAGTATAATTAAATTAATAATAACAATTTAAACAGTGAAAAATGAGTTTGATGGTGGAAAGAAATTATTTAAGAACTGTGAAAAAAATTAAACAATGAGTGAAGGGGGAGTTCCACATCTGTATAAAATGCAAACTCCTCTTACCGACCAGGAGATGTCTATATTTTCATTGTTAATTACTGTTAAAAAGTATTTTAATATCGAGACGGGTATTAGAGTTGTTGGCGGGTGGGTCCGCGATAAAGTGATGCGTCTTGAAAGTCACGACATAGATATTACAACAGATGGTGTGAGTGGTGTCGAGTTTAGTAATTATGTTATTGAGTATCTTCACGCGAACAATATTCCCACATCATCGACGAAGTACGCTACTCAATCAGAACACTTGGCTACTGCCACTGTCTCGTTCTATGGACTTTCTATTGACTTTAATAGTCCCAGAGCTGAAGAATACCACGACACACGTATTCCAATTATTCGGAAAGGTACTTTACTCGAGGACTGCCTTCGCCGTGACTTTACTATAAATGGGTTGTTTTATAGAATAGAGGACGGTGTAATTGAAGACTACAGTTCCGGTTACGCAGACATCAACAACAAAGTTTTAAAAACACCGATCGATCCTTTTGTGAGTTTTGTAGATGACCCACTTCGCGTGTATAGGGGGATAAGGTTTGCTTCAAAGTTCACATTCACAATCGAAAAGAACACATGGGAGGCCATGCACTCTGAAGCTTTTAAAAGGGTCACCAACAAAGTCACAAAAGAGAGAAGGCTGCCAGAAATTAACAACATTCTGAAAACGTGTAACGCCGGATTTGGACTTCACTGTCTGGCGGACTGCGGACTAATCGAGGAGGTCGTTACTTGTAATGCAATTCAAACTGTTTTACCAAACTTTATGTATTCGGATTACGCTGCCGCTACGATAAAATTGGCTTATATTTGCGAGGGAATATTAAAAAGGTGCTTTGAAACACCAGAAGTCTTCAATTCATTGACGTGCGGGTATTCATCAAACGCCAATAACAAAGACTATAGTACAGTGAGCTATTTTAATGATATCGCAAATTATGGAGAAATTATGAGAATACTGGGACTGTGTAGCATCTGCTTTGCTTTTAAAGACATCACGTACGTTTTTAAAAACAAGACGTATCACGTGTATCAAAATGTGATAATTGATGGACTAAAAATGACGGCAAAAGACAGAGAACTAGTTGACTGCATTTTTGATAGTGTTAACCTCTTCCAAGAAAAGAGTGACGTTTGTGAAAGGCTTATTCTTGGACGTATGATGCTTAAAGCAAAAACGATGTGGACTGTCGTGTGTGTATTCTACATTGCAATTCATTGTGTCATTGATATTCCACAAATACCTTTTCTTCAATTTGGATTTGATGGAAAGGAGGCTCACGCCAAATTGCTTGCTTTGTATAGTAAAATATACAACTACGGACTTGTACACATCTGGGAGCTAGAACCCGCGTTCAATGGAAATCAAATTGCTGAATTATTCAACAAGAAAAAGGGAAAGTGGATACAAAAGGCGATGAGCGATTTGATTGAGTATCAAATCGCTCATCCCGAATACACAACGGAGTCCTGCAAACTATTTTTGTGTTCACAGAACTACAACTGATTTACCCTCTTCTTTGTTTTTTCAATCATCTTGTTACACTACTGCAAAACATTCAAATGAAAATCGCTATAAAATGTATTATCACTAAGTAACAGGTTTAGCATGTGAATTAGTTCGTTAAAGCTACAGTGTTATGGAATTTAAAAGCCTTTGCTACTGCCGTGACTCCCTCTTCATAACTGACGCCTTTCCTCTTTAATTCTTCCTTTCTAATTGTTGGGTAGTTGGAGTATCTTATAAACACCTTTCGATTGAGACCCGCCTCACTATTACAAAACACAATATTTGCCTTGAAGTGTGAAAGCTCCAAATGAACGATATTTGAAGGGACATTCAAAGTTTTGACTTTCATGCAATTGAAAAGCTCGATGGATGTCAGTTTGGTGCACTCTTCCAACTTGTATATATTAACAAGAGAGTCCAAGTTGAGATCCAAATAGGTGAGACTACTTGGTAGAGTCAAATTGACCAACGGACTTTCATATATCTGCAGTGATTCTAATGTTGTGTTTAAAATCACTGTTTTCATCGAAACGCACTGATACATTCCTAATGTTTTCAAATTGGGGAAAGAAGGGAGACTATTCAAATTATCGCACCCCCTTAATAAAAGAGCTTTTAATGACGTAATTGGCTCTATTTGAGTCATCTCTGCCTTCAATAATGTTAATGAAGTCAAATTATTTGAAATGACATTTAAAGGCTCTTCCAGTCCGATGATTTGTAACTGGAACACACAGTTCGACTCGATTGTATGAAGCTTCTGGCAGTTAACAAAGAACAAAGTGTCTGCATTATTAATTTTGAGATCACTCAATTTGTGGCAGTTAGAAATTGGATACGTCAATGCCGTGCAAACAGTCAGTGACAATAACTCACTGCACATGTTGATTTTGACTTCTCCAACCTCTTCCGGAACAACCACTTTCGTGCAGTTCGCGTTTGTTAATTCAAGCGACGTCAAACAGGGATAGTTGATACACTCCTCACTCTTCGAGTTAATAACAGTGAGGCCACACAACGTTTCTGGACATTTGAAGACGCAATTGGCGCAGTTCTTTAATGAAAGTGAGCGCAGCTCACTTCCAAAATCAAGACTCGACAATACATTGCATGCCTCAATTTTCGCTTCAAAGCATTTTTCAAGTCTTATTTGAGTCAAGTGACTGTTACTATTCAACTCCACAAATTTTGCATTAGACGGGAAGGTCGCGATACAAAGACGGGAGCAGTTGTTGACACGTACAGTCTCTGCATTTTCATTCAATTCAAAATGTGCGAGCATCGGGCAGTTCTCGAGTTTAATATCTTTTAAATGATTCAAAGAGTTTTTTGTCCCACAGAAGCTTTGGCACTTCGCAATTTCAATTTGAGTCAACGAGTCGGGAAACTCCAAATTCCTCAAACAAAGAATTTCAGAGAGGCACAGTCGTTCCAGTCGAGTGCATTTGTCGATCGACAGTTTCACTAATCTTCCACATTTGGCAAGGACTAAACTAGTGACACTCGTTGGGACTATTAACTGTCGTAATCCAACACTTCCGCCGACTATTAATTTCTCAAGTGAAATATTATTTAACCCACTTAACTCTGTGAGTCGTTGACACGAGTCTAAAGTGACTTGTGACAGCATATGAGGAAATTCGACATTATTTAATTTGTTGCAACTCCTCAATACAAGCTCAACTAGACTCTCAGGAAGACCACACAAATTTTCGATGTTACACCGCATCACAGTCAGTGCAGTTAATGTGCTTGGAATGCACATCGTGTTAAAAGAAGCCATACCAGTCAACATTAATCCACTGCACTTGACACTTCTGATGTTAAATTCAGACTCAGTGTCACATGAAAAATCAAGACGATTGGGATAATACTTTTTAATGATCTTAGTGAGCTCTTCGTTAGTCTGGAAGTCAGTTTTGGAGACAAGTAAGTCCCCATCTCTGAACATCACTGGGCACTTCCCTTCTAAAAGTGCTTTCTTCAATTTCATATCGGAAGCCGCAGCTATTTTGGCGTTAGGAAGTTCATTGCTCAACTCTTCAAGTATTTTGTCGTCAAGTCCTGAAAGAATTAAAACAAGTCGGACCTTCGTGTAAAATAAGGCTTTGACCATCTCTAAGTTGTCTATCACATTTTGAGCGGACGTCTTTATAGTAACACTTTGGAGGGTTTTGACGTTACGGACTTCATCAGTAGAGATCTTCAAATTGCCTTCAATGAACACCGTCAATTCTCTTAATGAAAAACACGACTTAAGAGAAGGGAATTCCCCATATAAATCAAGTCGAGAGATTTTGGGCTTTAATTTGATGTAATTGAATTTGTTGTTAGTCACAATGGCATCATAAAATGTGTACATTTGAAGGACTTCGTCGGGTAAACTCATGATGAACTCGACTTTACCTCGGATGGTATCTATCCAATTAAAGACAAAAAGTTCCTTTTGAAATGACTGGAATGAATCAACATCATAACATGGGTTCTTCCGCAAGCCACGAAGAGAGTCTAAACACTTCTTATTGATTTGCGAAAAACGAGATGCATCTTCTACAGATGATAGAAAAGGAATCACTACCATTAAATGATACTTCTGCAAACCCTGGGCGTTAGTTGGACTTGAATACCGAACAGACCAAACTGGGTATACACCTTTGGTTGAACTCATTTACTACTCAATTTCAAAGTTCTGAGGAATTGAATTTACTACATTTTATTAATTATTTTATAACTTTCTTTATTATACACATCGATTGAATGAGGTTTAACAAACTTTTCATTGTTTCATTCAAATATGTTTATGAAGATATGTAATTTGTTCATTCCATTAATTGTCATATTAAATTATTTATAATAAATTAATGATTTATTATAACAACATAACAATCTTAAGATTCAAGTGGAAAAAATTTTTATATTTTCGTCGTATTTGATTTAATAAAATAATTAAAAACTTAAATATTTTGGTTTTTATAAATTATAGAAAATTATAAGTAATTAAATGTTAATGAATTTCAATTATTTATTTATTAATTATATTATACTGAAAAAACTATTTGAAAAATAACTTCTATTTATAAATAAATATAATAAAATTAAAAAATAATAACTCTGAATTTTTGTATAAAAAAAACGAAATGAGATTCAAAACTAAAAAAATGATGAAAAATGTCAGCTTTTGGGTATAAAAGCTTCAAAAATAAATAAAAAGAAGTATCGGTCTTTCTTAAATGGAGATGTCGTTTGTGTTTACACTCATTGTAGTAACACTTTCATGGGAAATGAAAGAAGTTGAATACCCCGAAGAATATGACCGCAACGCAAGTGACTTAATTCGGGTTCACACGACCCATTATAATGCACTTTATCAACAGAAAGTGGCTTTATTCTTAATTAGAACGACTGCCGATAGACTTCAACATGCTGTTGACATCAGGAAGACGTGGTGTGACTCTGAGGTGCAAAGAGTGTTTCATGTGAGATGTCTCTTTTATTATGTCGACTCATCTGTCGACAAATCCCTTCAAAAAGATACAATAATGATGATGAATGATACTCACAACGACATCAGGTTTATTAGTCTTCCCAATAAGACCGAAAATTGGTCGACCATTTACCACAACAACGTGATGATACTCTCTGATGCTTTAACTACTTTTCCTGGATATCAGTACTATGCTATTGTGGATGATGAAGATTATATTAACGTTGAAGTCTTAGTTGACTACTTAAGCTCATTGGTACCAGAGAATGTCGTCTTAGGAAAAGTGTACGAACATCAACCATACAAAAATGTGACAGACAAATATTATGATGAGATGGCGACACACAAAATGTATTACCCATTCACTTGCAACTCAATTTTATTGTACTCAAGCGACCTTGCTCATTTCATGGGAAGTGTTTATCACTACATACACCAACCTCCTTCAAGCCTCGCCGATACCGCATTTGGCTTTTTGGTCTACAAGTATTACGCAATCACTGGCAATCCAGTCCACTTCCATTTCCCATTAGACTTCGACTCATTCATCATCCATAGAAAAACACCAAGGTATCAGCTCGACCATGCAAGAGCCTTTATGAAAGGATCGTACAGGTCTCTTGGCGTGAAATTGACTCATTGATTGACTTTTATTTTACTTCGCAATACAAGTAGAACAGAGCAATCACTTCACTTTATCTCAACAACAACAACCCGTTCAATCACAAACTTGTTGTCCGTAGTGCCAACAAAGTACCGAGATGATGGACATTCAAATACAGAGCCGAGGAAACACGAACTTGTGTTTGTACCTATTTGCCCAACAGACAAATAGTCATCCCATCCACCACAATACATCATATTCCCATCTTTCTTAATCTGAAGTTTGGGGATCTCGTTATTGTCTTCACTTCTTCCCCACCGCCTCGGCACTTTTGAATGTGGAATTTGGTTTTTGAAAGAGATGATGTTCATCTTCGCATCGTAGATGGTCTGCGCTCTGTTGTTGTTCTTCACAAAGACCCCAAAACAGTTCTCGCCGTTTCCTTCGAACACAATTCCAAAGGAGCCAATCGCCATTATGACGTTAGAAAAGGTTTTGGGGTCGTCTCTGTCACTGTCGAAGACAATTTCAAGAGTGGGCGATGGTTTCCACTTCTCAATGAGGTGAAGGCGCTGTTTCACTTCGACTTCCGATTTCGTCAAATCACCAAATGAAATTTTCGAGTTTCTTTCGATTAAGTTGTGGTGCTCGGCTTCAAGGCGAAGTTTCTGAGTAACGGTATGTTCTTTGAATTTTTGCAATAACAAGACTAGTTGGTCAACTCTGTCTGTAGTTTCTTCCAGGTTGTGAAGTGTCTGTGATATTTTCGATAACTTGCTTTCTATGTCCATTCGTAGGCCAACAGGTTCGTCGGTGAGAGTTAACGAGTCAACTTCTGAAAGTTCCTTTTCGACGATATGTGTTGATTCGAGGAGTTTATTAGTCGTCTCAAATATCTGTTGCATCAATTCGACTTTACGAGTTTGAGACTTGTCAAGTACTGATATGAAACAATTGGATATTTTTTATTAATATATTAATATATTAACTAATAATAATAATTGTAAAAATACATTCCCAAATATGACTTTTTTATTAGTTTATTTATTATATTTTATGCATTTTTGCGCATAACAATAACTCGTGTTTCTTGTTAAAAAAAGTATAATTATATTATAAATTGGTTTTCTATTTATATAATCATCAAACTATACTTATAGTTTAACAAATTATATATTGATTTTTAAAAATAGAATTAAAGAATCAATACCATACTCTAATCTATGAAATTGTTTATAAACCCAAAACGATTTTTAACGTTTCAGTTTACTCTTTTAACATCGTGAGTGTTATAAACATTTGAACAAAACGAAAGTTTAAACAAAACAACAAATGTAATGATAAAACACCACTTTTTTTCTCATATTTGCTTGAACTTTTTTGGTCTTGTGGAAGTTCATATTGGATTGAATATAAAGAACTTTAAAATGTTAGGCAAACACTTTTTGAAGTGTAAGAACTAAATGTAAATCAAATAAGTGGTTGTTATTACTCAAGATTATTACACTTTGTTTAGTCATTCATTTTGGTGAAAACATTGTATAATTACCAAAACTATTAAAATAATAGTTTTCAAATTATATTTTAATTGATTTAATATACTAAATTACTTTTGACTTCATAATTAATAATTTTTTTTTTATTTTTATTATAAAAGTCAATTTGTTTCGTAAAAGGAACACAATTTAATAAAACGAAATTACTAATTTTATTATTATAATTGTGTTATAATTGGCACACAAAACACTTTGTGTTTTTGAGTTTATTTTGAGTTAAGTTACCATATTATTTTAATAGTTAGATAAATGGTTAAATGAATAATAATAAATAGTTCAATACATCTGAATTTGCAACCAAATTAATAAAAGTAAAAAAGAATTTCAAGAAAGGTATAAAAGTTGAAATATCAAACAATTAAAATCATGAGAGTGGTAATATGATGTCCAGAAATTGACGACAAAAACGACAAAAGTAATTACCAATTAATTCATTAAATAATTAAAATTAGTTAATAATAATTACCGGGTAATAGGTGAAGTGAATTTGTGAGAAAAATCACAAAGATCGCGAAAAACCATACAGAAAAATCTTTTTGATGAAACTCGAGCAATTTTTCTTGAGAACTGTCGCGTTGTACTTACATACGATCGAAGACCTCCTTAACTTTACTTTAATGAATAAACATTCCCAACAAATATTATGTACAATGCATATTAACACATACAGAACTACGCAAAACACCAACTTAAATCAAATCCTGAAGTTCTTTCCGCTCCTCGAAACAATATACATCTCTTCCATTGTAAACAACGTCGACAAAGAACTTATTAAAAAGGTGACATTCTTCGAAATCAATTATAACAATCAAATGGACTTTGACTCGATTCTTCAAGATGATGGTGCTCAACAAAAAGTTCGTAAATTAACACTTCGCAATTATAACTCGAAATTCCTCCCGTTCACATCATTAACACAATTGAGAGAACTCACTATATATGGTCTTGCAAGTTATATCGACGTCATCAATTTGTCGCGATTGATCTCATCGCCAAGTCTTAAAAAAGTGATCCTATACGTCACACTATATGAAGCAAGTTCTATCATCAAATCATTCCCATTCAAAGAACATTACAACACCGAGTATAGCATTGTTATGAAAAATGTTACTCACCACGGAGAACCTCCAGAATTTAATACTTTTAATCTCCATCTTCCAAATGTGACTTTTTACGTGTCGTTTCTCTCAAGTTTGGCATTCGACAACAACATCGACTTCTTGCCATTACGCGACGGACTCTCCGCATCAACTCACATTGTGATGATGAAGGATATGAACGATAAAGAAACACTCATTGATAAAATGATGGTAAAGTCCTTTGCTGAAGACCTTCATCTCACCTACTTTTGGGGACAAACTAAAGAACCCCTCTACCATCAATCTACCAGTCAAACCTACCGCTTTGACTTTGGTTCTATCAATACCGTCAAACAATTGTTAATGACAGGAGTTATCGGGTGTCATGTTATTGTTGCTGATACCCCACAAATGATGTATGACACGAGTTGGATCGACAAGAGATACTGCCAGAACACTCACATCGATGTACGTAATAATTATATAGAGATGAATAAAACAGTCGATCCAAAAGACAAGCGGAAACAGATACAACACAAGATAAAGCATCCATTTAATGATTCATTCAATTCGTCCACACTCAAATTAAATCATACAATATCCCAGATTCCTTTCAAAAGAGGAGAAATGCTTCAAGAGAGTGCAGTGTGATCCGTAGACATCAGATATATGTTTCTTGGATTTGGGAGTCACTTCATTCATCTTTTTATTCGAATGTATTACATGTAACTTTGACACTATTTGAATACCTATCAAAGTATATATATACATATATAAATAGATAGATATGTGTGTGAGAAATAACAGTCGAATGAAGAGATTTGAAAGGTCAAGAGCGGTGAAGTGAGTTGTTGTAATTAAGTTGTTGTTGTCTTTCTTTTCGAAGTGTTATTCATCATTCACAAGTTCAGATTACTTGTGTTATTACTCAAAGAACAAAAGAATAAACAGTGCAATTAGATTAATGAAACAAATGAAAATTGGGATACCAATTCCTCTGTCTCAGTATCGAATATCGTTTGCTTCTCTGTGAAAGGATCATTTGCGACATTTTGATAACACTTGCAGAACTCGTCAGTATCCCACACAATCTTTTTGAGTTGGTACAAGTCAAACAGCCCACAGCAATTGAAAAGTACTTCGTACTTGGGCGCATTCGGCTCGAGAAACTCGTAAGATGCTCCAATTGTTGTTTTCCACTTATGATAACACTCTTCCCCATTCTCCATGAACTGATACACTGTAAACGAAGGATCTTTGTGCCAATCCTGTTCATATTTGTCGGGAAAAGTCCCCAGTTGGCAGCAATAAAAATTTTTAATTGTTGTCAACAGAAGAAGAAAGACATTCGATTTTTCTTTAAGTCTCTTAAGCAACACTTGCCGAGTTAAATCAGGTTCTGTTGATTTGGCAATGATCGTCCCACGTCGGTACTTTATAAACCGGTCGATCTTACGCGAGAGTAAAAAATCTATTGCGTTACGTGAAAAGTTGGTATTGAGCTTTTGGTACGAAAAGCTCAATACCGCTTTGTGGGGGTTCGGATGGATGTCTGAAGTAGTGTTGGTGACATTATTAGTAACATCTTGGCATTGTTTTTGTTGAGTTGGATAGTTTGTTGATGCGTTCATCTTTGTTTGTGTAACAAAAATCGATGGTTTCGATTGTGAAGCATCATCATCATACTTTTGTGACACTTGTTCTGACTCGTCGAAATTGTCTGTGGGACTTTTGGGTGCTTGAGGAATAGAAGTGACAGAGCTCTTTGTTTGTGTATATTCAGTAAACTTTTTAGCTAAAAACAATATGAGGCGTGCGACGTACGAGTCTTCATCTTTATACTCCTCTTGGCAATAATAGATCAAATCAACGAATCCCATGTTTTCAAGTTTATTTAATTTCAAATATTTTAGCGGAGTCTTTGATTGTTGTGGGATAATGGTTGACGGTGGAATATCAGAGCTCCTGGTTAGTGGGTGTTGAATTGGTGTCGTGAAATTTTGTTGTGAAGTGGTTGATGTGGAATATGATGAGTGTATGGAAACTTTTGGTTGAGTTGGGAGTACCGTCGCACTTTGAGACAATGGTGAGCACATTGTTTGGTTAATTGTTGGTTGTGTTGAACAATCTGATTGAATTTTTTGGGGGATTTGTGGAGTTTGGAATTGGTTATTTGTTGGAGGAATTGGAATGCGTTGCAAAGTATAGTTAACTTGGGCACGTGGAATTTGAGATGTAACTTGTGAAGGTGGCAATGGGTTTACATTTGGTTGTTGAGTGTTTAAGTATTGAATAAATGGTGGAGTTGGTGGTTGTGTTGTAAATGTAAAATTGGGAGGTTTAGGAATCGAAGATATTTGTGGTTGAAAATAAGAAGACATTGTACAGTGTTGCTGTTGAAAAGAAATGATATTTTTAAGTGAATATTTTATTAATTTAAACTAGATAAAAAAAGACGTGTATAAAATAAATAAAATCATTTATAATTATAAATTAACCATAATTTATTATTTATTATGATAATTGTAATGGTTATAAAAATCATTTATGAAAAAAAATCATTAAAATTTGTTTTTTTGAGTTTTGTCAATGTAATGATAATAAATCATAAATATATTATTAATTTATAATAATTAAATTATAATTTGAAAATTTTAAAAATAGAAGACAAAAATTGAATAAAACAAATGAGAAAAATATTGACATAAAAAACAAATATCGTCAGTTTTTTACTACAGAACTATAAAAATGGTTTTTGAAAATCATTTAATGGATGTTTCAATGCAAAATTTTTAAAAAACAGAAAAAAAAAACAAAAAACTATAATTTACTATAATTTAATGATTTGCCGGTCGTTTTTTCTGTGCTGGCAAAAAGGACTATTTTTCGGGTATTTGTAATTATCAACAAATTAAATATCAAATTGTAAATAACAACAACAAAAAAGGTATATTTCTATTTTAGCTACAACAAAAAGAGGCAAAAAATAAAATTATATATTTTAATTGGTTTCTTATAATTTATAGTTATTATTATCCTGTTTTCTTGAAAAAAAAATTTATTAATAAAAATACATTTGTATAATTATCGTTTTAAACGAAGAACGTGATTCATCAAAATGAAATAAAATTTCGGGATTTTTAATATAAAACTTTATTTTTTTTTCCAAAAATAAATTTTGTCTATTTCGGAATAATTGAATTAGTTTTTATAGTATTTTCAACTATATTAAATGATAATTGTATCTTTTTTAAAAAATACTTAAAATAAAATATGTTGAAAAAACGGGAAAACAAAGAGAAAACAGTAAAGTTTATATAATTAAATTATGATACATTATATTATAATTTATAAAATTATGGTTAATAAAATTAGAACAAGAGAGAACAACATTATTTTTTTAATATAAAAGTATCTTTCAAACCCATATTTCACATTAATGGAAGTCACATTTTCAATTCACTGCAACGTCTCGTGTTATGACAATGTATATATTGTTATCAATGGTAAAGAAAAGATCATGGAGTGGACCAAAGGATATATATGGAGATTGACAAATAAGTTCAATATTGGTGAAAGAATCACTTGGTTTTACGAAGTGAAGAACAACAAACGAATTCAAGCGGCTGAAAATGTATTATTTTTAAGAGAAAAGGTGATAGACAAAAGTGGCGTCTATTTTGATGTGTATGATTGTGGAATAGAAGAAACTTGTTATTTTGAGAATGTAACAACTTTTGATACATTCTTGACTAATGAATTGAAGAAAGGGTGTTACTCGAGAAGAAAGTCCAATATTCTTCGTGTCACACAACAACAAACTGAAAGTGTTGAACCGAAAAGAAGCAATTCCGAAGGAATCAGACCAATAGAGGAACAACCAGAAAAAAAGCCAATTGTGAAGAGAAAATTGTCCCTCAACACCGAGTCTTCTAAAAAATTGATTCGTTCTATAATCCGACAACAACTCAATAAATATGATCTTTTAGATGCTGTTAAATCGGACGAGAATATCGAAAAAGAGTCAACTATAGAAGTCCCTCGTATTTGAATTATAGTATTAATTAACTGTATTTTGTGTTTTCTTCTTGATGATTTGATTGTGTATTAAAAATTATAATACATTTAACTATTATAATTATATATTAAAAATTATAATACATTTAACTATTATAACTTTATTAATTATTAGAACAGAAATAACACTATTTGGTATTCTTTTATTCGACCTCGAAATGTCGTTCCAATAAAAAATTCAACAGACCTCTTTGACTGACTCTAAATTACATCATATGTTTGATTGCTCTTCCTGCTTTTCTTTGATAGGAAATATTTCTTTTAATCTTCCCACCTTCTCCAGATAGTCACCCATGATACTTTGATACGCTTGAGGAATATGGTCTATTGTCATCGACATTCTTGGGATGATTCGAGCGTAACATTCATTAGGCACTTCGACACATACAACGGCCTCATCCCGTTTGTCCAAGTCGATCCACTTCCAATCGTCAAATTCGTTATTTCCACTCTTGTCGTATTTCTCTTGTGGTTTTTCAATGAGTTGATAGACTTTCCCCGATGGAATGAATGGAGGTTGTTCCGGTACTATGTGCGCCAACTCGGCTATAAGTTCGTCTTTCTTGTCGCCAATCATTTTAAGGATCACAAGTCGTGGATTTTCGACCTTTTTCACAGTCCCTAATATCACGTCAGTGGTCTTAATGCCGATCTTCTTATAAACTTCTTGGACCATTCTCTTATAACTCTGGAAGGACCCGATACTCAGTCGCGGGACTATATCATTCTCCCCCACAAAGGATATCACTAACTTCTTCATTTCAGGACACCCCGCTATCTCACGAGAGAATACCCCAGCTGGCGCAAATGAATAACAATTGATTTCCCATGTCGGGTGTTCACTTTTAAGAAGCGATGAGACTACAATGGCTACCCCACCACCTAATGAATGTCCCATCACTTTAATAGAATAGTCCGGAAACATCTTAACGAGAGACACAAGCCTCGATTCTATTTGAAGAAACTTGCGATACCCCGCGTGGTAAATCCCGTCATGGCAATATCCAACTTTATTAAACAAAGTCACTTGTGCAGGTTGAGCAACTAAGTCCGTTGCGCAGTCACTCACACAAGCCGTGCCTCTATACACTAACATGATCGCATGCATATCGTGGCGAACGGCAAGTAAGTAGCTTGGGTCGTACAAGTTACCTGACGTATTGTACTCCACGACATCTTCTTTATTCGTATGTGTGAACGAAAGAAACACATTGAGGGTGAACTCATTCTTGGTCAACGTGACATTATCTACCAAATTTTTGGGTGTTAGACCGATGACTCCGTATATGCCAATTGTGTATCTAAGAACCTCATAAAGAACACAGATGTCAACAGGTGTGAATTTCCTTAAGAGTCAATTTTTTGGCTCATTTGGTTAATTGTAAGAAGAAACAAACACTACCCGCCACGTCGCTGAGACATCAAATTGTTTCAAGAACTCTTCGTCAACTAATTGAAGGTCTAGAGCATACAGAAATAACGAGCCAAGCGCCATTTCAATTGGTTTGATGTCTGTCGTGTTCTCTTTGAAAACATCGAAAATGTCGTAGAGCGCTTTGTAAGAGTTCCCAGACATGTACCTACTCGCTACATCGTCAAACCCCTTCGCAAACCATTTCTTGACTTTTTCTATTGTTTTTTGTTCTTGGGTTTGTGGCTCCGTTGTGATTTCTACAAATCCATTTAAGTCATCGTCTTCTTCAGGCATATCAATGGACCACTCACTCATTATTTTATAATAAAAGTTATTTGTTTTAACAAGTTATTGTTCTTGTTATTATAAGTTACTTGTTTGTGACATTTTACCTGTCTTACTCTTCGGCAGCCAAATACTTTTTTTTTGTAATTTAAAAGTACTATTTCGTTTAATATTTATATTATAATATTATAATATTTGTTTTATTATATAAAAATAGTATTAAATAGTTGTTTATTTTTTTTTATTAATAATAGATTTTAATAATAAATTTTTACTAAAATTACGTTACTTCAATTATGTTCAGCAGAGGTTTCCAAAATCACAATCCTAATTACCCACGTCACCATTTCATAACCAAAATGTTCATTTTCTCTTATAAATTCGTACGTTATAATACCACGTTTTCGGCAATAATTATTTTGGAAACCTCTGATGTTCAGATATAAACGTCTTTATGACTTATTTATAAATCATGTATTATAATTAATATTATATTTACCAATTAATTTAACCATAATTTGTGTTTTGTTGATACTATTTCTTCTAACTACAGAAATTAGTGAAACTTTTCTAATTTCATATAAAGTAAGTAGTAAATTGTTATAGTTTATCAACTAATAACAATTATAAATCAATTTTTTATAACAAAGTAAAGTATTAGTATTTGAATAGCTGAAGTAAATTAAATGTGTTAATCACAACAACGAAACAAGATGAGTTTGACTACTTTTATTGAAAACACTCTCTCCAGTGATATTCTCATGACTGAAATGATGGGGTGGTTGTACACACAACACTCTTCTTATCAGCACATTTGTCTCGTTTTTGTTGTCATTAGTTCTGTTTAGTGGGGACTTTGGTGTGCACTTGTTTTGTATTTCCTCAAAACTCATTTTACAAGTGATGTCGGAAGTAACTTCAATTACCGGACTTTGTTGCCTTATTGGGGGCAACTTTTTTGTTGGTGGAGCTTTAAACGGTTGTCTGATCCCGTTCAAAGGTGAAGACATTTTCTTTTTCGAGTTTTGCACCATTTCTTCTCAATTTTTTAATTCATTTTTATTAAATTTAGAGTTATAATTTTTATACATTAAAAATACAATTCTATAGATAGAATAATAAAAATAATAGTAATTGTGTTATTTGTTGCATTATAAAAATAGAATAGACTACAAAAGTACCTTCAAATTATTGACCAAACGGAGTCAAGTCTGAAATAGAAGGAGAGTATAATCCGTGTAAGTCAAACGAAAAGAAATCATGACTCAAACACTGATCAACATTCCAGCGTTCATGGACGTTGGGCGTTAACATCTTGAGGAGTATCTCTTGCATGGACAACTCAAGCTTAAAGAAGTGTGGCCCAAATTGGACTTGCCCAACCAATAACTGTCTTCTGTATGTATCCAAATCAGTACTAAATGGTAAATACCTCAGTGCAGTAAAAAATAACACAACACCAGTACTCCAAACATCCATCTTCGATGTGTCATATTTCTTTATGTGCCCAACTATCTTTTGAAACATTTCTGGTGCCATATACATTTCAGTCCCACACATGGTTGATGCAAATTTGGATTGATCAGTCACTCTTCCGAATCCAAAGTCGGTAATTTTCAAAGCATCAGAATCTCGGGTTTTGAACAAGATGTTCTCTGGCTTAATGTCTCTATGAACGATGTTAAGCGTTTCTAAATATTTTAGTCCAAGCAAGAGCTGATAACCAATACTCCTCACGTTATTCTTCCAGCGCTGGTCACGGATTCTGTCAAACAAACTACCACCATTCATCATTTCCATTATAAAATAATAATTATGTGGTGTTATGACAGCTTCATATAATATAATTAAGCATGGATGTTTCAGACTTTTAAGTATTTGCATTTCCTTTTTGAAGAAGTCCAAGCACTCAAACTTGGAAGTACTCACTATCTTAGCCGCCATTGGTAAATCAACACCGTCGTACTCACAATAACGGACAACAGAATATGCACCATATCCCAACATTGGACCAAATGAGTAATTCTGATGAATTGGACTCAATTTGTTTTCTTCGTCAATCACAGTATAATCGATAAAACAGAAAACAAGATTGTATATACTCTGTCCCGTTTCTCTTGTTGGTGTCAACGTGATTTGGTCAAAAGTCTGAATGTAAACACAACCATCCACGTTTTGTTTGTTAACCAGTGTCCCATTGGTGCTCATATCTTCTAATAATATTGTCCGTTTACCTTTGTCATTTTGCTCAATCGAAAGGACAAAATGTCTCTGACTCACATAAGGAAAGTTCTTGAGACAGTCTTGATAATGTCTTCCAACACAATACTTGATGTTATTTTAATTTACAATTATGTCTTGTAAAAAACAAACTACTTTGTCAAACAAGTAAATATCTGAACATGCTTTACTCTCACTGTAAAGACATCCCCAACACCCCTCTGGTCTACTGAATGAATACATCAACTCAATACAATCAAGTTAGCAATTTTCTTTTAAATACAAACCCTTAAGATTAGTATAGCTGATAATCAAACAAACGATCGTTATAAAACCGTTTTTTTACACAAACCAGTTAACTCTATTAGCACAGCCTCTTTATTTGTTTGAACGAAATGTTTTATAAATAAAACCCAGTTACATTCTTGAATTATATAATAGTTCTTTTTTTATTAGAAATAATAATACGTCAAAGTACAACCAACTTGAAGAAATAATTAATTAAGAAAAAGAACTAGACAAAAACTATAAAATTTGTATGAAAAGAATGACAGCCTAAATTGCTTGAGGAGATAATGATTTGTTGTGGTTTACTACCCCTTTACTTTGTTGAGAAAGATTGTCTTTATCAATCACGATATGTACCACCAACATACCAAACGGTTTTAGTGGGTTTCCTGTTGGCAACCCACACCCTTTAGCAACACGTTTATTATTGTTAATAAGGCACGCTCCTGTAAGAAAAGTTCTTTCTTTCCCGTCCAAAAATTTCGTCACTTTAATATCCGTCTTACAGTATTCATCGCTTTTTCTGTAGTGTACATATGTTTCCAAGTTAAATTTGTTAATTCTTCTATAAATGGGATGCTTCTGGTTTTTGAAAATATACTTTACATACCGTTGAATGCCTTTTTGGTCAATAGCACCACACATCAGACAAGTTCCTTCCTCTGTCAGAGGACTGACTTGAACGGTTTTACCATGCACGTTAATTGCTTTACAATTGTAAACATCCTCCAATGAAACTTCAAAAGGGCACTCGATGAATGGAAAGAAGTAATGGACTGTTACATCACAATAGACATCTTTACATATTTCAAACCCACCATGACTCAATGTGAAAACATCTTCCTTGTGAGTATTTGGTATTCTATGTGTGAAGACTAAGTCGTTACTTTGAACACTAGATGTTAAAGTACTGTTTTTGACGAGAAAAAAGATAATATTATTGGCGTGGACTTGCTTCTCTGTGAGAATAAATTTGTACGTCTCAGTCGTTCCTTTAATGTCATACGAAAAAGCTTCGAAATATCCACTAAACTCCTCTTTGTTGGATAATACACTAGACACCACCTTCTTTCGTTCATAGATGGAGTCCATCAAATTTAATTGTGTTGTAAGTTGCTCGTGGTACGTTTCTTCTGTGACAAATTCCACACGTTGAATGGTCGGAAAGATCTGCAAACACACCCCACCAATAATCAACACGTCAACATCCAAATTTTTCTCTTCGAAGTATAACTCAACACTCCAAAAAAGTATTTTAATATCATCAAATTGATTTAACACACTTAAATTATTTGGCGTAGTTATATACTCCAGCAAGTCATTGATAACTTGAAAATCACGGGCGGACTTGAAATACGTCAAAGTATCATTTTTAATAGTCAACAAATTTTCAGGTGTTTTTTCCATCGATGAAATGTTCAGTAGAAATTGTTTACACAAATCCAAAATTGTTGTGATGAGGTTTTTAAAGTAGTTCGAGACTATGCCCAGTAACGTGCTTTTGAATTGATCACTAGGTACGTACACTATGTTTTGATTTAAATGGGAATCAAAGAACTGGAATAAAGGAACCAACTTCACACGTTCATTAATATCAATTGTTTGGGTTTGGTGTATATATGTAATTGCGTTTTGGATATCCATAACGTCCATTCTTTTGGTTTTTTGAGTTAATTATTAATTCGAATGAAAGACTATATTTTAATTTAAAGTAGTCCTAATTAAATCAATGATTTGTTAATACTAAAAAGATACTATAATTTAACCAAAATTTTATATATATTGATTGCCCATTCATTTTTAATGGACTGTTATTAATTATTTTATTAATAAATAAATTGTTTGTATTTAATATAAAATAAACTGAGTGTTAAAATAATATGGTTGATTTGTTTTTTGATGTCAATGTAAGTAATGTGATGAATTAAAATATTAAATAAATCATTGATAAACTATATTTTATAACATATTATACTAGTCTTTATATTAATATATAAGTGTTATTGTTTTTAATATTTTGTTAATTCATTTATAAAAATATTTTTATTTTTAATTACTAAACAAAAAGAATTCAATTATGTTACGCCCAACTCTTCGGTAGGCTCACATGACTCCGAGCAGTCCACTCTCTGAACCATCTCATCGTCCCCGTTTCCGGTTACATGTATTGGGCTATCTTTTTAATTACTAAACAAATATGAATATAGTATTTAAATTTTTATAATGATTTATTTGGATTATTAATTTATTTTTACTATTTGGAAACTACTTTTTAAATTTAATTTATTTAGTAATTGTTAATAAATTTTCTTTTGATATTTTAAATAAAAAACTATATAAACACATTAATTATTATTATAGTTAAGTAAAAAACAATTCTATTTTTTATAATAACAAAAATCAACTTTTTAGTTCTAAAATTAATAATAAATATTATATAAATTTAACTTCTTTTTTCTAATTTTTTTACAGAAATCAAAACAAAAACAAAACTAATTGTTAATTAACTTTTAAATTACAAAAATATTTAAATTGAATTAGGGCATGACACTGGATTGGCCTTTTTTTTTGGATTGGTGTATAAAAGGGAAAAATAGACTGAAATATCGGGCACCAAAAAATTGAAAAAAAAATAAAATTTTGAAAAATAAGAGGTCGATTTTGCCAAAAAGACTCTTATTCAAATAATATCCATTCTTATTCACGGAGAAGATTAATGATAAACGTGTCTAGGTAATTATTGCCAAAACTGAAACATTTAAAAAAATTTGTAAAAAATAGTATTGTTTTCACGTTTTTAAACACAAGAATGTTTTTTTTATTTTTCGGGGTAATTTTTTGTTTTGTTTTTTATAGTTTATAACGGTATCAGATAAATGATCTTGTTAATGATACATAGTAATGACGAGTAATTTACACTCTGATCTACAAAATGTATTCCGATATTCCAAGTATAGTTTTATGTTGGTAGCTGAATTAAAAGTATAGTAAAACAAAAAATGAAGAACTTGAAATATAATTGGGTTATTTTTTTCAAAATTTTGGGAGATCGTCCTAAAAAGTTGCTGTGGATGGATCGATTTTGGTGGATGCGTTATAACAGCCACATTTGGGCTATTACTTCGGGATTATTGGTTTATGGATTTTTTGACTTTTTCAACAAAATATAATCACTAATTCAGCAAATCATGTTCAATCATCAAGATTTTTTTTGTTAAAAATTAAGTTAATTTCTTTTTGTAAAACTTAACTTTTTGTTGTGTTTTTTATTAATATTAAAAAAAGAAATTTAGTAAATGTTAGATTTGTCAAAATTTAACTTTTTTAATTATATTTGATCTGCAAACAGAAATATATTATTAATAAAGATTACCTTCATTATTAACTTTTAGCATGTTTATAATATAGAGCGAAAAAGAATCATTTTAAAATATTTATTTGTTTGTTTTTTATATCGGTCATACAATTAGAGTCAGTGTTATTTCTTAGGTAACAATTTACAGATTTTACCGATATCTTTTTTGGTTTATGTTGAAAACGTCAAAAATCCCATAAACCAATAATCCCGAAGTAATAGCCCAAATGTGGCTGTTATAACGCATCCACCAAAATCGATCCATCCACAGCAACTTTTTAGGACGATCTCCCAAAATTTTGAAAAAAATAACCCAATTATATTTCAAGTTCTTCATTTTTTGTTTTACTATACTTTTAATTCAGCTACCAACATAAAACTATACTTGGAATATCGGAATACATTTTGTAGATCAGAGTGTAAATTACTCGTCATTACTATGTATCATTAACAAGATCATTTATCTGATACCGTTAAAAAACCAATTTAAAAAACAGTTTTGTTTTGATATTTTTAATATGTTATTTAACGAGTAGTTTTTCAAATAATGAGCAGATAATAACGAACAAATTTTATTGAAATCAATGTATTCATTCAAGTAAAAAATTAACGTTATTGTTTATAAAATAGCGTGTAAATTAAAAAAATTGTTAAATTAAAAAAATAATGTTTATAAAAGTATAATTATTAACATATCAAATGAAAAAAAAATGTTGTTGTTATGTGGCAAATTACACCATTTGGTGATATTATTTTTCTTATAAAAGAATTTTTATTATTTGAAAATGAATGCTTTTTTTAATGACAAAAATGACTTTATTTTACTAAAAAATATTTGTATCCAGCAAAAAAGCGTGTATCCACTGGATGGACGCTTTTCTAGTGGATAGACGTCCATCCATTAGTATGCCCTTAACTAATAAAATTCTTCAATTTTTATTATTATTTTATTATGAAATTTTAATAATTCGGCAAATAGAATAATGAATAACCAATGTGTAATACCAAAATAAAACCATTTCAGGCAAAGATTCCATTTTTTTATTATGTTATTTAATTTTTTTCTTTAAACTTCACACCATAACAAAAACGAGTTCATTATTAATTATTACCATTTAAAAAGATAATAATTAACTAAAACAACTAATAACAACAAACCATTCATTCAAAGGCGAAAGAACAAAAATTAATGATAAACTAAAAAAACTAGAAAGAGGAATGAGTGAGACCGAGTGCATGTTTAAACGTTTGTTTTCTTTGTCATTTAAGAAACGCATTTTCTCACTTGAAGTTGTCATTATCGGCGAAAGTGGCGTCGGTAAGTCAAACCTTTTACTCCGTTTCACGCGAAATGAGTACGAGCCAGAAAAGAAGTTCACAATCGGCGTCGAGTTCGCGACTCGAACCATCGAGTATGACGGGAAGACTATACGAGCGCAAATTTGGGATACGGGTTTGCTCTTTTTTACTCTCATTAATTATCCACACAAGTCTTTTAAGCACACCAATCGTATAATTAACTCCATATCGTTGTGAATCTCATAGAAGTACTAATTTGCTAGCTGGACAAGAGAAATACCGTGCAATCACAGATGCGTATTATAGAGGCGCTGAGGGTGCTGTATGTGTATATGATGTGAGTAAAAAAGATACGTTTACGGCCATCGACCGCTGGATGACGGAGTTAAAGGCTGGGTGTGGTGACGATGTGGTCATAATGATAGTCGGAAACAAAAGTGATTTAGAGCAGGAGCGTGATGTCAAGCCTTCCGAAGGTGAAGAATTCGCACAGCGCCACAACTCCTTCTTCATGGAGACATCCGCATTGACTGGAAACAATGTGGAGAAGGCGTTCACTGAGTTATTGGTCCACATCTACAAAAAGAAGAACACGACCATCACTCCGGAGAAGACGGCCGAGACTCAAAAACCGTCAGTCGAAGATAGAGTCAATATCAATAAACAAAGCTCAGAGGAGAAGAAGAAATGTTGTTGATTTACTTTTTTGGTTGTTTATGTCTTTACTATTAAAAATACTATTGTAATAGTATAAATACTATAAATACTATTCAACAATAATGAGTCAAATTCCCACACTACTTTTCTATTAATACATAGTTTTGGTTGTAATAAAACTAACTAGTATATAGAAAATGTCTTGATCGAACATAACAGTTAAAAAGTGAATGAATTAGTGAGGAACATCGCCGTCTGTCATAATACATTTTCCTTTGCAATATTTTACTGCCTTTTCCATGTTCTCAATTTCAAGTTCAGTTTGTGGCTGTCGCTTGACATAAAAGTGATTTGGGAAAGCGTGACGAGCAAAACACGGTGGGCAATGTCGTGAACAATTTCCGCCTATTGTGTTAAGAGCTTATATTAACATAACGTGTTATTTATATGACAAAAAGATACTCAACAAACAATCAACACAATTTGTGGTCGTGTAGTACTTTCCTCTTGCGTTCTCTTTCCATCTGACTGGGTTTTCTCTGTCGAACTTTGGGTATGCTTCCATCAAGTGAAGTCAGTTCTTTTTGAGATAAATAGTTAATAATTGTGATAAGTCTGATCTCTTTGTTCTGGTCATTTTGAACATTAACAAATCTGCGACTAGTATTAATTATAATAAAAATGTATTATATTATTTAATACAATATTTTTGATGAATAACATTTTTCAAACTTTTGGAAAAAAGAATTAACAAATGGGATTGCTAAGCAAAGTGCCAATGCCAATAAAAATCTAGCGAAATATAGTAAAATAACTAACAAAGTATTAATCGAGTGGATACCCTAGCACTTGAAAAACTAAGGAGTTTACAGACGGATTGGCGATGAAGTTCAACCCACGTGTCAGCTCACAACCACGCAAGGCTCGCAAGGCGTTCTATAATGCGAACAAGAACCAACGCCGCATCCTCATGTCAGCTCGCTTGAGCAAGGAATTGAGAGAGAAGTACACCGTGAAGGCTCTCCCAATCCACAAGGATGACGAGGTGAAAATTATTAGAGGACATCAAAAAATTGCAGGGAAGGTGACTGGTGTCAGAAGAAGCCAATATGTCATCTATATTGATAAACTCACAAAAACTAAGAACAACGGCCAAACCGTCCAAGTCCCAGTCCACGTTGCTAATGTCGAAATCACTAAGCCATTCTTGAACAAAGACAGAGAAGCTCTCTTGAAGAAGAGAGGTGACGCTGCTAAGGCTTACAAGGAATCAGTCGCTAAGAAGAACGAACAAGTCGAAGAGGTCTTCAAAAAGGCATACCCAACCCTCTCATTCGATATCTTCAGCTCAAAGAACAAGGTCGAGGCTATCAAGGAAAAGAAACCACTCAGACTTGCTTCAAGATTGATCGCCGTCAAAGCTATGGCTAACGCTGATAGAGCTAAATACACCGCTTCTTTGAAATTGAAGAACGCTAGAGATCAACTCGCTGCTTATAAGGCTGCTCTTGCTAAGAAAATCGCTAAGTAATTGATGATTACCAAAATGTCTGATAATTCTGCGATTTTTATCGTTTTTAGGGTTTTTTATCTACTATTTCAATTCTTTGAAAACTCTGGACTTTATTTCTGTTTTTAATCCAAATAATTCGTTTTCTGAGTTTTAAAAGTTGAAAATTGTTTGTTTGATTAAACTTACTTACAAAATAAAATAAATTAACTTATATTAAATAAGTTTATTTATTTATCTTTATTTTATTATTATCTTTTATTATATATATATATATTGAATTATTTAATACTGTATTCTACTTTGAACAGATGTCAAATAATTTATTAATACTACTATAAATATTATATAATATATCTGATAATATATATAACATGGAATATAATATATATTGTAATTTTTATTATTAAAAAAATAGTAAATAACTATTTCATGATATAATTTAAATATAATTAATAATAGTTTATTATTATTTTGCAAAAGTTGTGACAAGTTCAAATTATTTTTGTTGTTTATTAAATTATTGTGTTAATTATTTACAATATATTTTTTAATTATAGTCGAAGTTTGGTATAAATAAAATAAATTTACAATATAATGTTAATTAAATATAATAAAGTTATTATATATCAAATGTAAAATGTTTTTTTTCTCCGAACTTGTCCATCAAAAAACTATTCTTTTTCATTAGTAAATATTAAACAAAAACAAGCCCTTAATTTCGTGTATATTGATTAAGATATTTTTCTTTAATTGCCACAAAAATAAACAAAAATAATCAATCGTTTCCCGAAAAATCAGACATATTAAGTCCAATATTGTTATCATTTCTGCATAAATTTGTGAAAAAAATACAGAAAAAGACCATCTGTTTTTATACAAAAATCAACTCCTTTTATCATCCCAAAAATGTGGAATACCCGTAAAATTAAGTAATATTTACATAACAAGTCGCACACTACAACAAGGGTTTTTCTTTCTTTTCTTCATTGCAAAAACAAGGAGGAAACCTTTCAATAAACAATAAAAGAGTTAAGTAGAAACCATAGATATGTATTAGAAGTGCCAGAAATTTCCCAATTAGACGCAACCAGAAAAAAGTTTGGTAGAAAAAAGAATTGTGGATCTTCAAAATTCACAAGATGTTGTTGTCTGTCTTATTGCGAACTATCACCGAATTGTGCCCAGTCTACTCACCATTCTTCGGCTCAATGGGAATTGCTGCCGCTATTGTCTTCACCGTCTTTGGTGGTGCTTATGGGACAGCCAAGAGCTCCGTTGGTATTTCATCGGTCGGTGTGATGAAGCCTGAGTTCATTATGAAATCAGTCACTCCAGTCATTTTCGCTGGTATTATTGGTTTGTACGGGTTGATCATTTGCATTATGTTGTTCATCAACGTCTCAAAGGATGACTACTCCTTAAACAGATCTTTCCTTGACTTGGGTTCTGGACTCTCTTGTGGGCTCTGTGGACTTGCTTCTGGTATGTCTATTGGTATCTCAGGTGACTGTGGTGTCAGAGGTGCTGCTCAACAACCAAAGCTCTTCGTCGGTATGTTGATCTGCCAGATTTTCTCAGAAGCTCTTGCCTTGTACGGATTCATTGTCGCGTTGGTTATGGCCTCAACTGGTAACAATGATTGTGTGACAAAGGTTGTCGCCACCTCTTCTTCTGCTTAATTCGCGATTTTGTTATCGACTTTTGGTTTTGAGGAATTTCTTTCGTCAAAGTTGACTGTTTTTACTATACTTTCTAATTCTTTTACTAGAGCGTTATTATACTTTTGTTAAGGAAATTTGGTTTGTTATGAAGGATTTTTCTGTCACATTTTTGACCTTTAAATATAACAGTTTTTAAAAAAATGAAAACTAATGAAAAATTAATTCATATTTTGGTCAAACATTGTATAGTTTAATTCAAATTATATTGTAACTATTGATTATAGTATAACAAATATAATATATATTATAATAAAATTACTATACACAACCAATTTTAAAATAGAAACAGAAATGAAGAGAAAACATCAAGTTACAAAGAATAAATCAACTTAAGGTACTTAGAAGTGTCAGTTTGGGAGTAATTGGACATGATCTTATAACAACGACAACCAGACCTGATAATGTCTGTCTTGGAGAAATAAAAGAAATTGTCAGAGTCTTGATAATAAGCGTCTGCGATGTCTAAATAGATTCCTGTTTCATAATAGTCGAAACAAAAGCCAAGTCGGTCAAGTAAAGAGATCAGTATTGAGTCTTTATTATCCTGTGTATAATTAGAATCTAATATCTCACACATGCCAATATCATTTTTCTCGATGGTAACTATATCTATATTAAATGGTTGTTCTTGGCAATTCACAACATAAATGGTATATCCCTTTTCAATAAGTTGTTTAATAAGAAATCCTCTCACAAAGTTCTTATAGTAAAACTTTGTTCTGACTTCTTTCCTTGGTTCACTTGAATCGTAAATACAATCATCTGTTGTTGTCTCTGTCATATTGCTGTGTTATTAATAAAGTTTTGTTAGTTGTTTGTTTGATCACTTTCTTTGTTATGAAGTCTGTTTTAAGTTGGTTCTATTGAGTAACGTTTCCAACCCAAAAAGTTATACTGTACCATAAATTTATGAGTAATATTATTAAAATAATAAAATTTGTCATTTTTCTCTACAAAGTTAAATATTGTACTAAAAATGATAAGTAGTTAATAGATTACTTCATGTTAAAAGAAAATACACGATAAAACTAATTAAACACATCAGTACCACTGCAACGCGACTATCTTTTTGACTTTGAAAACATCTCTGTTTCCAGTCAAAACATCATCACCAAGTCCTTCGTAGTAATTTGAAATGGGATTAAACGAATAAGAGCAAGTTCCATCCACCGTCGATTGGATCATTATATCAGAGTCTCCTATGATATACAAATACTCTTGACTCCCCATCTTCCCAGCTATTTTCCAATTCTTCAGGAATGTCATCTTCTTAAGCTTTGTCCATTTCTGGGGCGTTTCTGTTCGCCCGTGACATTCCAAAGTGAACACGAAATGGTCTTCATCGGAGATATCGCCATTGTCGTTAATCTTCTTTTTTATATAACACCCAAAGACGTCACCACTTTCTGTCTCATTCACTAACATCAAATTGTCCCTCCCAAATATCGAACTCATAAACGTCTCTTTCTCCCACCCATCAGTCTCTGTGTCAAATAAGAGTCTTGTGTTCAATGAAGAAGTCCACTCGGACAATATAGTCATATTCTTCTGTATAGAGTCTATTCCACCAGTCTGTATATACTCAGAGTACTCCGGAGACTCTCTTTCAAAAGAAGAGTACTCTTTACTCTTGTTTTGTAAACTCCGGTACACTATTGTGTTATCCCCAATGCGCTTTTCAATGTCAGAAATCTTCCGATTCCGCATCGAAATTTCAGCTTGTGCTTTGCGGCGCTCGTCCACGACTGCAACCAATTTGGCTTGAATTTCTAACTCGTTTTTCTGTGAAGATTCTTTGGCTTCGCGCTCGAGGGCTTCGAGAGTTTGGCATGTGCGTTGTTTGATCTTTTGAATTTCTATATTTTCTTCTTCAAGTGCTTTTGAAACCAAATTTGTTTTCTTCTTTGTGATTTCATTTTCCTTGGACTGTTTCTCCTTCTCTAGGGTTTCAGTCTTCTCGGTGCATATTTTTTCTGTTTCTGCTAAAAGATCTTTACATATGTCTTTTGTTAATACCTTAGCCTTGAGAAGTAAACGCTGTAAGACTACTCGAATTTCAAAATACTCTTTTGACAATTCGGTCTTTTTCTTCAAATAGAACATCGAAGTTTTGTTTGCAATAGTCTGGAGATTTCTAAGTTCTGCTTCTTTGTTGTATTTGATCGAAAGGGAATCAGTTATAAAAGCCTCTATTTGACTGATTTCTTCTCGTTTGTCAATTGTAAACTCTTTTTCATAAATTTTCCAGTCAAATACAGTGTCTTTCGGTTCACTCTCAACCGCCTCACATAATACTTGGAACTGCTTTTTCAAAGCTAGAAATTGCTTCTTCTTTTCTTCATCTGAAGTTGTGGCTATAAAGTAGTCTATCTCCATATCGTCGACTCTTTTTAGAGTTGCTCTTCAAATCACTTGTTTTATTGGTCGATTAAAGTTTTTCTCTGTTTTTTTTCCTCAAATTTCATGTTCTATTGAGTTTATTTTGTCATTAAAAAATGGGTTTATTTCGTTCAAAAATTGATGAATTTTCTTATATACTTTTCAATACACAAAAAAATAGTAAATCGCACAAAGATATGTTCATCTTATTAAAGAATATTTCACATTGCTATTCACATGTTTTTCAAGGTAATAAATTGGAAAATAAGCTTTATAAATCAAAAGAAATATAGATTCTGTTAATGTTAAATATTGGTTATTTTTCTTTTGTGTTTGTTGTTTATTGACAAACATTTTTCTTTTCAAAATTTATCACATTCAAAAATAGTCACTCAATGTTTAAGATGGTATCGTCGATAACCTTTTCTAAAGACAAAATACACAAATTGAACAAACAATATTTAAAGAACTAATAATTATAGTTGTATCTAAGCTTTGAAAATCCTTTAAAATTTTTATAATGTTATAACCAGTGTTTTTCCCGTTGTGTTATTAATTTAAAAAAAATGATATTTAGGGTAGAATCATCCAATGAGAAAAACACGATGTATTAAAGTAGTTCTAAATCTCTGAAAAACAAGCGAAGAAGGCTGGTGGGCATTCCCTAGTGTACCACAGAAACTCTACGCAAGATAGAAGCACATGTAACAGAGCTTTCACTTCAAGACATAAGTGAACGCCTACACATCTGCTGACATCATGAAATTTTCAACATAAAACAATACAACTCAATTTTACACGTTTTTTATTAAGACAATAGTCATTATAACAACCATCGCAATTGAAATGAGCACGCATCCTATTGTACACCCGCCAAACAAACACAAAAGCGTATAAAAGCACCCCGAATCCTTTTTCGCTATTCTCATCGACTTCCGGACTTGTTTAATAACAGGAAACTTTTCGTCAAAGTAGTCATCGCTTGTGTCGTCCACAGACTCGGAAACGTTATAAGAGACTGAATTGATGTCTTCAAATTTCTGCACTTTCTCAGGTAAACCTTTCGAAGGCTTCCCAAGAAGCGGGTGCTCTTCGCTCATTAACATTTTGCAGTTCAACGTCCGTTTTCTTTTAAACGTCTTTCCCGCTTTTTCTTGGTTTCTTTATTGGTGTAAATTGTAGTATTTTTATAACTTTTATACTATTGTTTTTAGAGTTTGTTACATTTACTTATTCTACACATCTAATAGTTTCTTTATTATTTGATTATAGTTCTTTTTTCTTGAATTTGTTCTAAATTTGGAAAATGGTTTTGAATTAATTATTTTAATTAATTAAAATATAATAAAACTATAATTATTTATAATAGAAATAGAATTGTGAAGAGTTAATCCATTGATTAGTATAAACAAAATATATAGTAAATAACTAATAATATATAGTAAATGGAGATGGTGTAATTCAACAGACTCCATTGCAATCTAAGTGGAAAAGAACACATAAAACACCCTAAATTATAAACTACCTGACGTGATTTAACAGCATTTGTTTTGTTTATTTTGAGATGATGTTGAATTCCCGAGAGTGACCGGTTCATATGTTGTGATGATGTCTGTGTCGTCGTCGAGGTCATTAGTTGGGTCTTGTAAAATCTCGTTGATCTTTTCACATAATGCAGTAAAAGTTTGGACGACGTCTGTTCTTTAGTTTCATTATTAAATCATACATATTATTTATACATCAAATAATTATAGTTTCGATACTATATCTAAATAACAAACTCTCTCCCGTCTTGGCTGAACACCTCATGTGCATGACATTGTGCTTTTTGACAAGCTCTTCAACTTTTTCTTCGTCGACTTTAATTTGATCGTCGCACTTACACCCCAATAGCATCCAAACGACATTGTCTTCCCCCTTTGCGTCCTTTTCTTGAATCCAGTCAGGGACACTCGTTAAACTTTTAGGTGACGTGACGTCATAACAAATGATGATCCCTTGCGCTTCTCTAAAAAAGTTCGCCGCAAGTGATCGAAACCTTTCTTGCCCCGCTTTGTGTCATTCTGTGGAGTACAAATACATTCTTAAACATTGATTATTGACAGATCATATGTTGTGTGTAGTGTAAAGCAAACCTGTATCCCATATGTTTACACTCATGTCGCGGTCTTTGAGGTGAACTACCTTTTGAAAACAAGAAGAGACCACCGTCGAAAGGTGCGAATCAACAAACTCCTCCGTGACAAACCTCTGGATGAGGCTCGTCTTCCCCGAATAGGAGTCGCCCACCAATACAATTTTAACACCGCGCATGCTCATAGGTGTTTTTAGTGTGTTTTTTAGTTTGTTTTTAGCTCTATAACGTTTTATTCGTTTGAATTCGACTGTATAGTTTTTTTTTCTATTTTATTATTATTAATTGACATGAAAACTTCCGATAATTCATTGTCATCATTCTGAATTTTGTAATTCAATGAATAGTTATTGTATTAACTATTTTACGTTTGTTATATCATTAATTTTATAATTAAATAATCTATAATTTAACTATTTTAAAATATAAAGAAAAAATTATAATACAATAGTTTATTGGTATCAAATTATTTGATTATTTTTTTGTTAAATTTAAAGTTTTTTAAAATTAATAATTAATTATTAATATTTAAATTAAGTTCAAGTTTTTATCTGACCAGTATTACTAATAAATATAGATATTTATTATTGTTTCTAGCTTTTTGAACTATGTGAAATTAGTATATAATAAACTTCAGAAAATCGGGGAAAATATTTTATAAACTCATTATTTGCCAATTATTAGACAACTTGAATTATGTTCAATGGTTTTTGTAATGTTTAGTTAAATATGATAAAAATTTTTAGTTAATAGATCAACACAATTGAAAACCTCAAAAATCTTATTTTAACAAAGTCCTTTAGTTTTAAAAAAATGAAATTTGGAATTATTAGTAAACTACAAATAAAAATGTGATTTTTGGTGTGATTATATGAAATATACTATTTTCGGTTAAATCCCATTATTGTGCACTTTTGTACAGTGTTTTCATAATTATCTTTTTTATAAAAATATCTTTGTTGTGTTTGACGAATGTAAAAAAGCAAATCTGGATTGTATTGAAGTTTTTTAACACAGTTTTTTTTTAAAAATGTATAAAAAAAGTTAAGAAACATCACATCTGATCATTTTATTTAAACCACTTTTTTATAATAATTAAACTAAAACTAATTTATAGAACTGAACACTTCCTTCTGCCATAATAGTTATAAATGAAGAATTCGGATCTTGACGGATTCGGTACTCAAGATCTTAGGTTAAAATATATAAATAAAACACGAAAAAAAATAAAAAGGTTTAACAATTTTTAGTCAAATCGTAACCCACAGTCATTGGGCAGAATGCGGCCGTTATAAGTCCAAATCCGCGAATAGAAAATGGATTCTTTCCATTTTTTGCAAGCCGCATTCGAAAATTCGACGAAACCCTGAATTTTTCTAAATATACCAAACAAAGGGAAACAGAATTTTCGATGCCCACGTTCCCCGGGGCTCAGCCGTTTTGAGCTTGTCAGCACCCCAAATTTCTGTTCCACTTTTCCGTACCGTCCAGATACTAGAGGAAAACCACGGAAATAGTAAATCGCCTCAAACCCTTTTTTGTCGTCAGAAACCCTCCCATTTTTTGACGAAATATTATATCGG